GTGACATTGAGCAAATGCATAAATCTGATGGTATTCAGTGACATCGTGGGGGGTGGGGGGACTAAACTTTTTCTACTCTCAAGGTTTTTCTGGCTGGTCTTAATAATCAAATAGATGTGAGACAGATCAGCAAGAGGAAAATGCCCACATTTAACACACACATATGTATGGCATTTCTGCATAAATGAGCCAGGGATCCTACATGCCTGGAAGGTTCAGAGACAGAACGGGAACATGAGTATAGAACATTCCATGCTGGTGATGAGGTAAGATGCCTTGCAGTCTTCAAAGGGTTGTTGCAGGATGATAAGAAGAGCAGATATTTAGTAAATAGAAGTTTGCCCTGCCATATAAATGGGTCAAAAAGAGATTATTGCTAACAATCTCTGATTATAGGCAAGGCCCCCAATTCAGGTTCTAGGCAGTCAAGGGAATGGCAGAAGCTCCTCTTGAGGATAAAGCTAAAATTTCCTTTAGCTCAAAGTAACCTGAATACCACAAAAAGTACATTTTTGGAGTGACTTTCTTTGAGCCACCCACCCTCCAACATCAAGCAAATTTTTTCAAAGGAGTTTTATTGAGGCCAGAAATACATTCCAGGAAATTTGATAAAAAGCACAATTCAGTGAAGAACCCTGAAAGGTGGGCCACCTTACCTATCGGTCCAACTTCAGAGAGAACACTTGAAGGACCAAAGCCTCAGTATTCAGAGGTGTCCCAGTGGGTCAGGGGGCCGAGGGGATGGACTCTCCAGCCAAATCATGAAGTCTCAACCCAAGTCACATGCTGTCATCCATTTTATGTAATTTGTTGCATATTAAGTAATTTGAATTCTGAAACTGACAGAAGAGGGTATCTAAGTAAGTATTTTCTCTTTAAAACTTAGGCAAGTTGATTCAACCTCTCTGGGATTTTCTCAACTGCAAAATGAAGAACAAGTCCTACCTTAGAAAGGTGTCCCCAACAGTGCCATCTGGTCCAGGATGAAGTTTTTATCTGTCCTTTGAAGAAAATGTCAGGATAAAGTGCAAAATGGGTTCTCTTATGAAAGATTTTATATATTCTGAGATGATCTCTTCCTACATTTTCAGTGTTAAAATTTTTGTTGTTTTAGAAATGATTGTGATAAAGATGAAAGTGGTATTTTGGGTTGTGGAGTGGTTTTACATGTTTTCATTTGGTAAAGTTAAAATCTAGCAACCCTCCTTCCCCCTCTTCTTCCCTCTCCTTTCCTTTCTCCTCCACCTTCCTCCTCATCCCCTCTCCTTTTTCTCTCCTTCATCTACTTTGCATTTTCTCTGGGCCAGGCACTGGACTGAGTACTTTCGACCCATTAACTTGCTCCCCACATTCACCCCAAAAGACCAGAACTGCCATCTTTTTTCCTTCCTTCCTTCCTCCCTCCCTCCCTCCCTCCCTCCCTCCCTCCTTCCTTCCTTCCTTCCTTCCTTCCTTTCTTCCTTCCTTCTTCCTTTCTATCCAGCAACTACAGCTCTGAGAGATTAAGTAAATTACTCAAGGTCACAGCTGACATGCACTCTCCTAATCCCCAGGCTCTTGCCTTCACACAGAACATAAGTAAGATAGCAATAGCAAACAGGAAATGATATGACATAAGTAAAGCAGCTAGCATAGAATCTAACTCATAGAGGTACTGATAAAGAGTAGTGTTCATTCTTTCTTTCTGTAAATATTTACTGAGCTTCTATCCCATGCCAAGCACTGTTATGTGCCCTGAGATAGAGAACTAAAAACATGGACAAAATTCCTGACCTAAAGAGCTTACATTCTGGAGCTTATTCCATCTGTGGTTGCATCCTCTGCTGCAGCTTTTACCCTCATGCACTCTGTCTGCTCTCAGGGGAAATGGTCTGTGGCCATTCCTGCAGCCCTTCAACTTCCCACTCTTCTTCACATCTAGCATAGAAACTCTCAAGTCTAAGTGTTTGGGGGCAGAAGGGTCTTCATTTCTGTATGGAGGCTCCCATGTCAGGTGAAACTCACATTAGAAAGTTTGTATGCTTTCCTCCTGTTAATCTGTCCTTTTTGGTTTAATTTTCACATGAGGCCAGGGACCCTAAAAGGATGGAGGAAAACTGCGTCCTCTCCTACAACGGCACAGAGGTGGTGGACACCCACAGGCTTTGTCCTGCCCACCTGAAGAGCTGCCTGCCCCCCGGGCCAGTCTCCAGGATCGCATCCTAGTTCCAGCCCAGGTTTCTACCTGGGCGTGGGAATAACTCTGCTAACATGTTTCAGCGCAACCCAGACAGGTTGGGTTTTCTTCCTATTCTTTTTCAACCCTTTCTCTGTCCACCCAAGTAAGGGAATAATCAATCACCTTTTCCTTGAAACTACTATGAGAAAGGAATTGTTTTATGTGAAGTCCACCTAGGTAGGTGTGTGGAATGAACACCGTTATGGAAGGCAGCACAATTCAGTGGGCATGTAGTAGGGAAAAGCCTTCCTGCCTCAGCGGGTTTATATGGGAACTGGATTAGGAACCAGACATCCGACTCTCACCACAGTACAGGCACGGAGAACACACTCATTCCCTGACCCCTTACACAGTGCAGTTGCTTTGACATCGGTTCTCCTGTCCTCTGTGTTGGTTGAGACAGGGGTTGCACGGTCTCCGGACCCCATGTGTGGGAACAAAGGATGCCACAAGTCCTCAAAACTTCTGTTTCTCAAAATCTTGTCCACAGTGCCAGTGACCAGGTTATAATCACTGTTCTCAGACTGCTCCCTTAAATTCCAATATAATAGTTCATGGAACCAACAGTGGAGACCATGGCCCTCATTCAAGCCAAGTATGCCACAGTGTTATTTTTAAATCCACCAAGAAAACAAGAGCCTTTCCATGATAAATAGCTGTCCTCTGGACAGCTTTCCTCTACCTCGCTAAACCATTTGTGGTTGAGAGCAGGGTTCCTCTTCTTTACCAAGGAGAGCCGCCTACTTGTACATTTAACCCTCCCTGGCCTCTGGTCTCCATCATGCCACATCTGTTCACAGTCTTTAAAACCCTTCTCAATTTCTAGACATTTTTTCCTTTATTGATTCCAGAGAGAACGGAAGGGAGGGAGAAAGAGAGGGAGAGAAACTTCAATCTGTTGCCTCTTGCACATGCCTGGACTAGCAACCAAACCTGCAATTCAGGCATGTCCCCTGACTGTGGATCGAACTCTCAACATTTTGGTTTGCAGAACAACACCCAACCAATTGAGCCACACCAGCCAGGGTTTGCCCAAGGATATGTTTTACAGATTTGAGAGAGAGAGGGAGAAACGTCACCTGGTTGCCTCCTGTAAGCACCCTGACCAGGGATGGAACCCTCAACCTAGGCATCGGATCCTCAGCCTTTTGGTTTATGGGGTGATGCTCCAACCACTTGAGCCGGTGCGGTCCTTCCCTGTTTGTATGGTCACCGTTTGCCCAGACCTACCCCCTCCGTACAACAGTCTCCTTTCTCCCAGTTTCCATTACACAACGGTCTCCTGGTTCTCCTACTTCTCTGATCAGCCCTTCTCTTCCCACACTTTAGACACATCATCTATAACTTTAGACCATCATTTATAACATTTTATTGAAATCTCCTCTTGCTTGCCAGACCCGAGCTCCTCACCCTGTGCAGGGAGTGGCTGTTGTCCCTGGTTTCTCAGTCCATTACGTCAGCGCACAGGCTGTGGCTCTCACACGTAACTGAACCTACAACCCCAACTTTCTCCATTACTGTTATCAAGATTTTCTTGCCTCATTCGTTACCTCAAACTAAGCTGCTTTCCATTTTTCTAATTCACAGTCTCCCTTCTCAGATGGTTACAAAAAGATCAAACCAAATCAAGGTGTTTTTGAAGGGACCACACTTTCTAAGCATACACACGGTACAGAGCTTTGGTTATCTTTGACATGCACGGCCCAAACCAGACCAGTCAGATCTCTTCCCCAGGTTTATTCTCAGTGGGATGAACCTAGAAGAACCCTTCACGCCGAGGCCATGAAACCAGAAGGGTGAGAACCCGAGATTTTTGTACATTTAATAGGGTATCTTTTCACCATCCCCCAAACACACCTGAGCTTTCCTTCTGCTGTGTTATCATCCCTTCCCTTCCTGTTTTTTTTTGTTTATTTAATTGTTTCCATCACCATTTATCCCCCTTTGCTCTTCCACCTCCATCTACCCCTTCCCCTCCCCCACAATCGCCACACCCCCTCCTTTTCCACTAGTTAAAATTACATCTATCCATTGCTCAAGACTTGACACAGTCGGCATTTACTCCTCCAGTTCTGTGAGCGCTCCCTCCTTCGAACCACGCCCACTACAGTATAAGCTTGTGAATGACTGGCAGGTGTTTTCCATTAACTTCTTTATCTGCCACAACCCCATACCCCCCACTCAGGCACAAAGCTTTGAAGACAGGTATGTCATAAATGTTGACTCCTTGGTGTCAAAGAAGTATGCTTGATCACCAGCTTTTGTATGGTATGTATTGCTTTTATTCTAACATGCATAGTTTTCACAATTTAATACTGAAGAAATCGGGGTTCATCTTATAACCGTTGGCATGCTATAATTTAATTAGAAATGTTTCTTTCTTAAAGAAAAAGTGGGTGATATATAAAGTATGAGTGCATCTTACATCTGATGGTGTCTTAGATTCAGTGAAATAAAGTATCATTCAAGCATCCGTGAGAATAATTATATTTATTCCTCTGTCTTCCTGCCTCAGGATGAAGAATTTTCATGTTCTCAACATCTCCTTAGTTCCTGTTTTCTACTCCTACTGCTGTCCCCTCTTTCCCTAATTTTCCACTGTTCTCACACAGTCAGACCAGTGCTCTGCAGTAAGGCAATGAACGAGAAATACAATGGTGTCATTCCATCATGGTCCCACAGGATAAAATGCCGCTTGTGGTCCTATATATCTGCTATAGAATAAACTCTAATTAAACACACAAGCTGGTTAAAAATACATCTTTATTTTTTTAAGTGTGAACAGACTACCTTGTTATATGAGCCTCGATTTATGAAGCCAATGTAGTCAGAGCGGTGTTAAAATTAAATAAGATAACAAAGTAATATGATATATTTAATTACAATATAATTATCATTATTTGAGCAGTATTGTGACTTAGTATTGAGTCTCTAGAGAGCAAGGGTTTCTCAGCAAATCCAGATGCCTGTCCCACTGAATTATCCTTGTTTACACAGTTGCACTCTTCGTTTGTCCACGAGGCTGGGAAATCCAGTGGCCTTGGGCCAGACAATTCCGTGAAGGGGAAGCTGTCCTCACTAGCTCTGGCATGGGCCACCTGCCTTGACCCCTGGTGTTTTAGAAAGAGGGGGGTTCTCATCTCTCACTTCCTTTTCCCATAGCCTGGGATCCAGCCAAAGCAAGTGACTCGCTCCACCAATCCTGTACTCTGCAATCCAAACTTGCCTGTCTCTTCCAGGCCTTCTCTCAGGCTGACTGCTCCATCTAAAGAAGCATGAGTAGTACTTTCTATGATTGAGGGAATGTTCTATCAATCTGTACAATCAGCCACTAGCCATTTGTGGCTATGGAGCAGAGCACATGAAATGTGACTAGTGCAACTAAGAGACTAAACTTTTTATTTTATTTAACTTTCATTTAAATTTAAATAGATACATGGCTAGCAGCTACTATATTGGGTAGCATAGGTCTAGTGTGTCCTTTTCTACATGTACATGTAGCATGTACGTTTCTTCTTCCCCACGTCCTTAAACTCCTAGAGAATTATTAAACCTGAGAGTGGTCTTGGGGACTTCCTGAACTAGTAGTTGCCCAAGGTAATCTAATTCACATTGTTTCCCGGAGTGTATCACTGAGAGTTCAGCTCCTTGAATTACACACCTCTGGACCAATGAGCTGGAGGCCATGACTCCGATGAGGGCTGGTGACTAGAGATGATGTGCTGGGTCTTCAACACAGGCAGTGGAGTAGTGAAGCGAGTGTCTGGGACCAGGGTCACGTGAGGAGTGGATATGGGAACAGAGGAGTGGGAGAGGCCCTGTCCCCGGGGAAGGAGCAGAGAAGCTGGGATGCAGAGAGCAACTGTGCTGTCAGTCATGCTGAGGGCATGAGAGGATCAGGTAGCTACTGGCCCCTGACTTGAAACTTCTGGAGGCTCTGGTATCCCTGTGTGCTCCAGTCCTCAGAAACTGAGAATCCTGCCCCTGGGAGGCATGGGCTGTGGAGCAGATTCCACAGGCCAGCGTGCACCTGATTTAAGGCAGGCTTATGCTCTCTTTGGCTATACTATTTGTCTGCTCTTTTTTGTAAAATCTATTTTAGAGAGAGAGAAAGGGGAAAGAGAGAAAAACAGTGGTTTGTTGTCCTACTTATTCATATAAGCATTAGTTGATTCTTGCACGCGTCCTGACTGGAGATTAAACCTGCAGCCTTAGCGCATTGGAACAACACTCCAACCAACTGAGCTACCCGGCCAGGGCCACCATGTGTCTGCTTTTGACCAGAGCACCAGACACCCAGACTCTGAGCAGCAAGGTGGTAGGCCAGTGGGGAAAAGAGCAGAACTTCCTTCAGGAAGCAAGAAATCTTACTGATTTAGAAGACTGTTTGTCCTAGAACAGTCTTCTAATTCCAAGTGCTGGGATTTAAAGAAAATGTCCCATTCTCAAAACCATGTCTTCTACTAATTAAAGTTTCTACTACATTGACTAGCAAACACCTAAAACAGAATTAAGGGGAATAGTCACAAACAATATTGATTCTATACTGTAGAGTCAATAAATCAGATTGCTTTCCTAATCTGAGTTTAGCTGCATTAGAGGAAAGAGTCACTAGCTTGTGGAAGTAAGGGAGAAATTAACTCTCGGGTATGGGGCACTCTGGTTGGCACAGCTGGGGGATGTCGGGGTGGGGGCGGGGCCTGGGCACGGGGATTATTGAGGACACCTGCTGGGGAAGAAGCATAGAGAGGGAGGTAAGATGACATCTGAAACAAATTTCCGCAGCAGACCCATGCCTCCTTCCACCCCCGACCAAGTTCTGTTGTCACTAATTCTCTCATCCCTGTCCCTCCCCGGCGCTAGGCTTCTCCTACATGGAGATTCCAAGAGAGGGCAATGAGCTGGCTTCTTGAGGGCCTCATAGGAGACAGGAAATGCTTTTGTAGACAGACCTAGCAGGAAAAGCACCAGCAAACAGGATGGGCATGTAGGGTACCTGGGGGTCGAGGGCAGGAGGAGAGCAGAAGCGCTTTCTGCTAGATGCAGAATGAGCACAGACAGGCTTAGAGGAGTTCTCCGTGAAAAGAGAACATCTGCCTGATCATTTCCACAGCACCTGGCGCTCCATAGTTAATAAGTGGGGGAGTGGCTGGGTAAATGTCCCCTAATATTGCAAGATCATGCCAATTGCCAGATTCACACAGGTCAAATGATTTCCTGTCCAATTCTAAGCCTTCTTCCTTCTTGGGTAGGCACTTAATCCAGTTGTATGTGTTTACAGATGTCTTGTTCCTATTTTTTATCCTAATTTCCCATCTCCTATCCAGATTACCCCTAAGGTTGCCCTCCATTCCCCCCTTTCCTTCACAACTCAATCCTACGCCTCCTAGGGGTCTCAGAATATCTGGAAGGCGTTTGAATCTTTTCCTATAGGAGGTGGCCCTCATAGGCTGTTCACGCACAAGGAGAGAAGAAAACAATCCCAGAGAAACACGAAGTGGGGCAGAGCACAGCATGAATGAGGGGCAAACCCGCGAGGTCAGGGATGCGGCTCACAGGAGTCCAGGGGCTGCTGCTCTGCCTGCTGAGGGGAGCGTGGTCAGCAGGTCCATGTGCCGGTGGCTGGCCAGGCCCCACAGAAGTGTCGGCCCTTTCATAGGCACAGCCTTGGAGCCCCTAGGAAAGCACTGACCAATAAATTAAGTTGAAAAATATGTAGGAGGCAGGGAATATCACCCTGGAGTATTTGTCAATGGCGTGGGTGTTCTGGAAGAGGCGGAGACCCATCTGGCCCTTCACAAGGTCCTTCTTCCTGGAGGAATTAGATTCATTGCTCAGGGCCAGGTGGACCACTATTTTGTCCTGCTTTTCTTCTTCTGTCAGAACGTGGCTTCTCGGGTACCCAGCCAAGCTGTTGGCCTCAGACTCACTGTAGCTTCCGTCCAGCATCATGGTTCTCGAGTGAAGCATTCCACACGTACAGGGGAACTGCGGGCGGCAAGCACAAGGGAAGGTGTCAGGCATGGTCAGGCCTGGTGAGAGGGCACAGAAGGTGGCCCAGGCCTAGAACAAAGCCCCATGGCTACTGAGAACCACAGAAAGGCAAAGCTAGAAGGATCCCCAGAGATCATTTAGCCCAGATAGTCACTACCCTGGCTGCATATTAGAGTCACCTGAGAAACTCTTAAAGTGGCCACACCCACGATCCGCTGTAGACTAACTTAAAGCCCGCCCACTGATTTTACTATGTAGCCAGGGTCTAGATGCCCACATCTTAGTCCAAATGACCACAATTGCAGAGGCCAAAACTAAGACACAGAGGCTATTCAATTCTCCTAAGATCACACAGCTACTCTGAGTCAGGACTTTAAATCTATACATTCTTATTCCAGTAGTGAAACTCTACCTCTTTGTGCTGGGAGAGTGTTCTTCCTCTAAGGAGTTACGTGTAAGGATAAAGGGTCATGACGCCTGCAGTATGTTTTTAAATGGTTCCACCACACCAGCGGGGCTATGTTTACAGAGAGCGATCACAAAGAGATGGCAAAATGTCAGCGACGTTGGATACCAGTGCAGGCATATGGTGTATATTATCCTATTTTGTTAAACTGTTTCTGCAAGTATGAAATGTTTATGAATTATAAGTTGGAGGGAAGGAAATGGTTTCACTTAACTTCTCCCGCAATCTGAGTGGGTAAAGAAGGGCTTCCAGCTGGCACTGCACTGGCGGTGCTGGCCAAAGGCATGCGGCCCGCCTGGCACAGCCGGCCTGGGGTGTGTCCTCCCAACCTGCTGACGTGCATATGTCTCTGACCTGGCTCTCAACCCTCAGAGGCCTTTGTTCTTCCATTTGGGAAAGTGAGATAATGATGTTTCACAACCTGTCCCCTATTGTTATGAATATTGAAATACTCCAAAGGATATCACAAAAGAATGCAAAAATGGATGATTTTATAGAAAATTAGAATTACCTGAAGTATTCTTACACTTGAAGAAATCTTATACTTGAAGAAATCCTTTGTGGTTTGGGGCCTAATTTTTTAATCAGTCATGATAGTTTCATTACTGTTTCCTATGTCTCGTCCCGTCAGCCACAGTAACTAGGTAGCACATTAATATATTCCTAGAATAGACTTATGGGATGAAAGGTCAATAAGAGGTCTTCTATTCAATTATTTGCATCTAGAGATAATCACACCCAAACTTTGGTTAAATTGTGACATGTCACTGGAGCCTGTTGTCGTTGTTGTTAAAGGCACAGGCCTTCACTTCTTTCTTTTTCTCTAAATGGAAATTCATTCTGCTAAAATGGAAACAGATTTTCTCCAAAGATTTTGAGTTAGAATGAGGAAACATCAAAGATTACGTTTCTAAGAGAACCTAAGCAGCTCCTGACATGCTGAACAGGGCTGGATAAGCAGGCCGAGCCTTCGAGCTCAGGCACCGGAGGCAGACACCCCACCCCACCTGCTGCACTCAGCCCCAAGCAGCGTGGGTCCCCCATCTGAAGCAAGGTGAGCCTGGCAGGCTCCAGTCAGCTTTGCCCTTTGCAGAGTAGAGAGTGGGCTTCAGGGAATATCAGAATCACCTGGGAGCTTATTACGAATGCAGATTTCAGGATGCCATCTCCAGAGACTCTGACTCAGGGGGTCTGGGATCCAGCCCCAGAATCGTCATTTTAGCAGACTTGGGAGGTGACTTCAGGCCAGGTGCTCCTTGGCTCCTATTTTGGGAACCTGCACTCCCCCAGGGGCCATTTCCACAGCTGTAGTTTCTCTGCGGGTCAGCAGGAGAGAGAATTTGCGCCTTCCCACCACTGTCTGTCGCCAGCAACCCTCACCTCCTGGGTGTCTGTTCTCACAGACAGGCAGCTGGGCTTGGGGCCCGATTGTCTTTCCATGTGTGGATTTCCCATTTCTCTTTAGTCAGTGTCATATCATCTCTGGCAAAGACTGGGCCCCAACTCATGGCAACAGGTTAATGAACTGCCCAAGTACAAGTTACATTTGCAGTTAACGATTCATTAACTGCATATTTGTCAGATGAAGTCTTTGTTATTTTTTTGAACAGCTCTGTACAGGGAAGTCTAACAGATTATAAGTCAAAAGTGTTTACATATAATTCAAAGTCAGTTGCTAATAATCAATGTACAGATTATTACTAATCTGAACAAATATTCAAACGCTGAAGTAAAAAAGGCTTGAGTAGAATTTTGAATATAAATTTTTAAACAATCTAGCACACTTGGAGATAATGTGAAAAATTTTAACAGGTGTAACGTGAGCATTGGAAGACTTTTTGAAAAGCCAACACATCCTCTTTGCCTAAAATTTAAAACTCCCCATGCTGAGGAGCTACCAGCCACCTGGGTGGGCACAAATGTGGGACTTGCATGGCCCCTGATCGCTACACCTCTTAGGTGAATACCCATTTCATTAGTCCAACGACTAGCAGTGATTTGGTAACAAATTGGCTTTTATTTTTTACTCTCATTAATCACAATCTGGATATGAATGAAACACTGACCCTCCCTGTGTCAAGACCCATACACACTGCCTACAACTCCCCATTTGCATTCTATCTCATAATACAGTGTAGCTTAATACATTATGGTATGGTACAGTATAATAGTACAGTATTTCCCATAACCCTGAAGACTAAGGTCATGTGTGGCTGAGTTTTTACTGAGCCAAATCACTGATAAATAAAGGAGCTTTTTATTCTAGAACTCTTGCCTTATCTGGCCATAGGATATGAAAGTATTTTCTCTAGACATGTTCAATAATAATAGTAATACTTATGTGTCTCTAGAGCCCTACAGTATCAAAACAACTTTGACATACCATATTTCTCAGACTATAAGACACACCCAGGTTTTAGAAAATAAAAATAGAAAAAAATTTTTGAAGCAAAAAATATGGTAAAATATTTAATAACATAAATAACATAATATTTCACCAATGTAAACAGAACTTAAAGCAACATTAACAACCATTATTCCTCCCAAATGGGGGGGATGCATCTTATAGTCTGAAAAACATGGTACTTTATTTCATGTGACCCTTAGAATAATCCTGGAAGGAAGGTGGGGTGAAGATTCTCTTATACATTTTTACTCATGAGAAAACTGAGGCCCAGCATAAATGGCAGTTAGGCCTAAGAACCCTTTCTGTCCCTAGTCTTTGTCCAAAGACATTCCGCCTCATGGGATCCTTTATGGAAGGTGTTAGAACCTACTCTAAAATGGATCACTCCCTGTTTGCATAAACCTCTCTACCTTTTCTACAGGCAGCCCCCTTTCACTCCCAGCAGCCTGGACTCAGACAAGGAAATGAAGGAAACTCCTCTCGCCTTCTCCCGCAGCTCCCGCTCCTTCCGCTCCTGCACCGTGGTCAGGTAGTTGACGGCTGCGTACTCCAGCACCGAGAGGAACACGAACACAAAGCTGACCCAGAGGTAGATGTCCACGGCCTTGACGTAGGAGACGCGGGGCATGGAGGCGTTCACGCCCGTGATGATGGTGGACATGGTCAGTACCGTGTTGATACCTGCAACATCCGGCTTTTAGTTCAGCCGCTGAAGGGGGTGCATAACGGCCTCCCCCCCATTTCGGTAAACTCACCACGTTACATCTGCCATCTCTTAATCAAACAAGAAATCCCCGGACATGTTTCCACCTTGTAGAGGTGCAAGGGTCTGCCCCACAAGCAGTCAGGCTCCGCCCCGCCCCCTGGCAGCCCACCACTTGCCCCCTTCCTCTGTAAGCACTTGGGACACCGGGTTTCTGTGGTGGCCGACAAGAGCAGCAACGCTTTAGAAAGGACCTGTTCAAGTGTGGGACTAACTCAGAGACTTAAAGGGCTCCCCTGGAGGTGAGCACGCTCTCCCTCATCTAATCCGCATTTGCAAGTCCACGAAGATTGTGGAAATTCCTGGACGTCTATCATGCTAGTTCCCTTCACACTGCCCTGCTGGTCAAACCCTCCCATTTCTCAGGGCCCAACCTGATTTTGTCCAAACTTACAGTGATTAGTTGTAAACATTCACTCTGGAATTCAGTGTCTGTGGAGGACTAAAACCACAAGTCACCAGGGAGTACAGCCCTTTTCTTCCCAGAAATCAGGTAACCTGGGCCCTACTTCCAAACTCTCAGTCTGTCTAAACAAGGCCAACAAACAGGGTTTTGTATTTACAGAGTAAGTTTTGGGCGTTTGTGAAATTGTCTTATATGTCAAAGTATTGAGCACTAACGCTGACCGGAGTGGAGGTCTAAACCCCAAACAGGCTCTATCCCTGTGAGATGATTCGAGCGGAGCTGATGTCATTTTAGCCCCCAGTGGTCTTCTTAACGTAGCCCAGGGAACTGAGGGTAGTGTGGGAGCAGTGAAGACAAGAAACAGGAATATTTGCTCCTTCTGATTCTGACAGCCCATCACTGAAGAACTCTGAATAACGGTTTTACTTTTTCTTTACACAGAGATCAGTTCAGAAGAACAAACCACCCGACCACACCTTATCAAATGCTTTTACCCAGTGAAACTCGGGCGGGCACGGCTCTGCGGTCAATCCAGAAGGACACCCAGGACAGCATGACCATCAGGGTGGCCGGGAAATAAGTTTGGAGCAAGAAGAAGAAGATGTGGCGACGCAGCGTGAAGTTTATGTGCAGACGGTTGTACCAGCCTGGGGGTCACAAGGAAGAAGCCGTGAGTTTCCACCTGAGAGGCAACAGCAAACCGCTTCCCCACAAGCCCTGCTTTCCCTGATGTTGGTCTCATCTTCAGCAGAAAGTTAAACATGAATGATCAATTAGCCTCGTGTAATATATTTCCTTTCCAAAATCTAAACCCTCTCTCCTATAAATAAATATCTTGCCAGTACTTCATACATTTACTGTTTTATTCAGTATTACCTAACATCTCTTCACAGCATTTTGGGAAAAGGTAGAAATAAATTGAGGTCTAGGCTAAATTGTTTGGGTTTTTTTGCAAGCCACACCCACATTTCCTGAGTGACTGAACCAATTTTTTTTAAGCCAATACCACTGAGGCAGGAGCGAGCAGAACTGGGCCCTTGTCACTGTCCTTATTGTAAGATTGGTCAGCTCAGTCAATCTCCAGATTCATCACAAGAGGAAATAGATCATTCACATGACTCTGAAGTCTGACATCATTTCTACTTCTGAAACTCCATCTGCCTTGTAGAAGTCACTCCACTGGTCTTACACAAGTTACTTACCACTTGCTCATTCCTCAGGAAAAAAATGAGGATATAGATATTATCTATTTCATTCTGGCAACTAAAGAATTACAGATTAATGGTTGTAAAAAAAGGGGGGGGGATAGAAATGTTAAGGTTTCAAATGATCTGCAATATTATTACCCAACCACTGGGACCGAACATGGTGTTAAGGACGGTGTAAATGTGTACAGGGAACTGAAGCTGTGTGCACACCCCTCCCCACTCCCATCTCAGCTCAGTCTTAGCAGAAAATGATAGAACTCAGAGATGGTCCAGCTCTGTGCCTCAGAGCTGGGGGTACACGCAATGAGGCACAACAAGACAATTTCAGGAATACAGAGGCAGGGACTTTTTGTTTGTGTTCATTATGTTTATTCTTAAAGTCATCTTCTATTTATGGCAAATGATACCAGTTTCCCATCAAAGATAGTGATGTAAACTTCCTTGTGAAAATAAACTACAAGAGGGGAGTCGACTTTTTTTAAAAAATGAGTCCATGGCAGCACAGTTGGTATGTGAGACAAACTTCACTATGGTGTTCTATGAATAATTGAAATCCAGGTTGAGCCTGATCCTTTTATACAGGACATGAGGAGACTCCCAGAGACTTTTCTAAGATCTTGCCTGACTCAAGATGAAGTCAGGTCAGAGCTTATGTCTCCAATGCCCAGGCCAGGACTCCTCTCACATGATGTACCTTCACTTGAGCAGTAGCCACTGAGGGCCTACCAGAATAAAAAAAAAGTACTAGGTAATGACAACAAAAAGATATCCCACGTGCTGCCAAAGTTAAGAAACATTGACTAAGAACCGTGGTTCTCAAAGTGGTGTTTCTGGACCAGGTGCAAGAACATCACTGGAAACTAGTTAGAAATGCAAATTCTTGGGACCCACACAGGATCTACCAATGGGAAACTGTGGGGGGTGGGGCCAAGCAATCTGTGCACATCAGCTCTGAAGGACTCGTTAGAACAGATGGCTGGGCTCCACCTCCACAGTTCCCAGGTGATCCTGATACTGCTGGTCTGAGCACCATAGTTTGAGAACCACATTGGCTAAAAGCAGTGGTCTTTGAACTCTGATGTACAGAAGAAGAATCACATGTTAAACATGCAGATTCCTGGGCTCCACCACCTGAGATTCTGACTCAGTAGCTGCAATGGTGCCCAGATATCTGCTTGTTGAATACACTCTCCTGATTGTTGGGATGCAGATAGACCTCAGAAATGCACCAGAGAAATGCTGCTGAGTGACAAACACCATCCGGCTGAATTGGAAAGTTAGTATTGAGTCAGGTAACAGAAGGGTTGGGTCAATAGGAGTAGGCTGGAACAAGCTTGACGTGTGGTAGGGTGTAGACAAGCTTGACATGTGATTAGTGTGTAGGTTTGGAGGTTGTTTGAATGAGGCAGGAGCTTTTAGTACAGTGAATAAACAGAAAGTGCTCTTCAAATATGACAGAAACTACTAATCAGTTATTTATCCCATATAGCCTTTGTCCAATCTCATCAGCTTAAATTGGTACCCATGAAGCAAATCATATTTTTTCCTCGGTTTGCACAGAGCCTTTCTGAAAGGACTGAAAGCTTCTTTTATTCCATGAAGGACTGCTCCGTCATCTTTTCCCTCTGTCTAAGAAAACCAGGGAAAGTTGCCTTGGAAACACGAGGAGTGACCCAGAACTTTTGAAAACGTATACTCCGTGTTCTACACAGAGCTCTCTTGGGTGAGCCCATGGCCCCTGAAAGATGGGATGATAAACCTGCCAGTTAGCACATAGTAAAGAACAGGAGCAATAAGAAGATGCAGTTTAATCTGGTCTCCAGAAAGGCTCAAACAGGGGTCAAAACAAACAAACAAACAAACAAACAAACAAGCTTGATATCCCAACTTAGAAAACATCTAAGAGGAGTACACATAGTGACTAGGGCAGTTTGCCCGGCCACTGACCAGCTCTGTGACTTTAACAAACCTTAATTCCTCCTTGTCTTAGTTTTCTCATTTGTAAACTCGGGTTAATAACATCTACATCGTAGGTTTGTTAGGTAGAAATTAGTTCATTCATATAAAGTACTCAAAACAACGGCACATTATAAAAGTTATGTAAGAAACTCTTTTTTAATTATATTTTATTGATTATGCTATTACAGTTGTCCTGATTTTTCCCCCTTCGTCTTCCTCTACCCAGTGCTCCACACTCCTTCAGATACTCCCCACACCTTGTTCATGTCCATGGGTCATGTGTATAAATTCTTTGGCTACTCCACTTCCTATACTGTACTTTACATCCCCATGGTTATTCTGTAACTACCTATTTGTACTTCTTAATCCCTCACCTCATTACCCACCCACCCTCCCATCTTGTAACCATCAAAACACTCTCTGTTTTAAATGGGATCTCATCAAAATTAAAAGCTTTTGCACAGCTAAAGAGAACAGTATTAAAACGAAAAGAGAACCAACTGTTTGGGAAAACATATTTGCCAATGATACATCAGACAAGGGTTTAATCTCCAAAATATTCTTCCAAAATATACGAACTTACATGACTACACTTTAAGAAGACAAGCAACCCAATTAAAAAGTGGGCAAAAGACTTGAACAGAGATTTCTCCAAGGAGAACATACAGAAGATTCAGAGACACATGAAAAGATGCTCAATATCGCTAGCTATCAGAGAGATGAAAGTTAAAACCACAATGAGATACCACTTTATGCCAGTCAGAATGGCCATCACAAACAAAGCTACAAATAACAAGTGTTGGAGAGGTTGTGGACAAGAGGGGACGCTAATCTATTGTTGGTGGAATTGCAGACTGGTACAAGCACTGTGGAAAACAGAATGGAATTTTCTCAGAAAACTAAAAATGGACCTGCCTTTTGACCCAGCAATTCCACTGCTGGGATTATATCCTAAGAACCCTAAAACCCCAATCCAAAAGAACCTATGCACTCCCATGTTCATAGTAGCACAATTTATAATAGCCAAGAGTTGGAAGCAACCTAGGTGCCCATCAGTAAATGAATGGATCAAAAAATTATGGTACATTTACACAATGGAATTCTATGCAGCAGAGAGAAAGAAGGAGCTCCTACCCTTTGCAACAGCTTGTATGGAACTGGAAGGCATTATACTGAGTGAAATAAGCCAGGTGTTGAAAGACAAATACCATATGATCTTACCTTTAACAGGAAGCTAGCAATAAAATAAACAAGCAAGCAAAATATAACCAAAGACACTGAAATAGAGAACAGGGGGACAGTGACCAGAGGGGAGAGGGGAGGGAATTTCAGGGGGAAAAGGGGAAGGGTTTACAGGAACTAGTATAAAGGACACATGGACAGCAACTAAGGGGGGTGGAAATGGGAGGGAGGTGGGGAGCACGGGGGGCAGTGGGCTGGGACGGGAATAAAAGACAGAAAACTGTACTTGAAAAATAATTAAATAAAATTTTAAAAAACTCTCTGTTTTGATTATTACAAACCCCATGATTCTGCCTCTGTTCTTCCTGTTTGCTTAGTTTGTTTTTTAGATTCAATTCTTGATAGATACATATTTTTGCCATTTTATTGCTCATTGTTTTGATGTTCTTTTTCTTAAATAACTCTCTTTAACATTTCATATAATAATGGTTTAGTGATAATGAATTCCTTTAGTTTTTTCTTGTCTGAAAGCTCTTTCTCTGCCCTTTGATCCTAAATGACAGCTTTGCTGGGTACAGCAATTTTGGCTGCAGGTCCCTACTTTTCATGACTTTGAATATTTCTTGCCAATCATTTCTAGCCTGCAAAGTTCCTTTTGAGAAATCAGCTGACAGTCTTATGGAAACTCCCCTGTAAGTAACTAGCTGCTTTTCTCTTGCTGCTTTTAAGATTCTTTCTTTATCTTTCACCTTTGGCATTTTAATTATGATGAGTCTTGAAGTATTCGTCTTTGCATCCATCTTGTTGGGATTCTCTGTACTTCCTGGACTTCCATGTCTATTTCCTTCACCAAAGTAGGGAAGTTTTCTTTCATTATTTTTCCAAATAGGTTTCCAATTTCTTGCTCTTTCTTTTCTCCTTCTGGCACCCCATCATGAGAACATCACACCTCTTGTATTTGCTCCAAAGGCTGCTTATACTATCCTCATTTTTTTGGACTGTTTTTTCTTCTTGTTGTTCTGGTTGGTTGTTCTTTGCTTCCTTATGTTCCAAATCATTGATTTGGCCCTTGGCTTCATCCACTCTACTGTTGTTTCCTTGTAAATTGTTCTTTATTTCAATTTGAGTGTCCTTCATATCTGACTGGATTTTTTTTTATGCTGCTGAGGTCCTCACTAAGTTCCTCGAGCATCCTTATAAACAGTTGTTTTGAGTTCTGCATCTGACAGATTGCTAATCTCCATTTTGTTTAGCTCTTTTTCTGGAATTTTGATCTGCTTTCATTTGGACTATGTTTCTTTGTCTCCTCATTTTAGCAGCCTCCCTGTGTTTGGACCTGCTTTGACTCTGTGTCTTGGTAGTGTGGCCTAATGTAGTAAGTATCCATTAGGATCCAGTGGCACAGCTTCCCCTGTCACCCAAGCTGGGTACTCAAGGTGTGCCCTCCACGTAGCCTGAGTACATCCTTCTCCTGTAGTTTTGCCTTGATTGCCATTGGCAGGTCAATGGGAGGGATTTACCCAGGCCAGTCAGCTACAAGAACTGGCTGTCGCTGACCACCAACCTCTGCCCTCCATGGAGGATCAGTTGTGCAGAGGCACAGTAGTGGTGCTCTAGCATGGTCTGTAGCTGCCCACTAGTCATGAAGGATCTGGGGTTTCCTGGGTGGTGCAAGGAAGGTCAGCACTCCCCATCTGTGTTTTGCTTTGGGCCACCTTGCCTGAGCTATAAAGCAATCTGAGATGGCTGCTACTTGTGCTGGGCTTAGAGATTCCCAGGGGAAGACAAGCTATGAATCTAAGTTAGCGTGAGTGCTAGTGCTGTTGCTAGTGCTAGGCCTGGGGTTCCCTGAGGCCAGCTGTTACTTGTTTGAGAGGTTTAGAAAGTTGTGAATCATGAGCCAAGAGCAGTCATTCATATGGAAAAGCAGCTTTGGTAGGCCTGTTAATAGGGTGGGGCAAAAAGTGTCAGCCAGGCTGACAGAGTCTCAGATATGGCACCAGCTTGCCGGCTTTGTGGCTTTCTAGGGGGAGGGTTCAGAATAGGGACAATGTCCTCTGCTCACCTTGATATCAGACACTTCAGTTCCTCCCTGTGCCTTTCAAGCTTCTACCCTGCTGCTGGAGCTCAGAGGGAATGAGTCTGAGTAGGAGAGTCCATGTGTGTTTTTCTTTAAGAGGAATTGCTTTGGGCTCTGGTAGTTTCTTCTATTGACTTAATCCCCACTGTTTTTTTGTAGCCAGAAGTTGTGGGACTTATCTTCCTGGCACCGGAACCCTGGACTAGGGGGCCTGGTGTGGGGCTGAGGTTCCTCACTCCCAAGATATCCCTCCCAAATTTTTATCCACCACACATGGGTGTGGGGCCAGGCCATTCCATGTCTTTGACCCTCCAACCAGTCTGGATGGATGTGGTTTCTTTAATTCTGTAGTTGTCAGACTTCCATTCTACTTGATTTATGATGGTTCTGAGTGATGATTGTTCTATGTTTTAGTTGTAACTTTGATGTGGTTGTACAAAGAGGTGAGCTATGTCTGCCTATGTCACCATCTTGACTAGACGTCCCCAAGAAACTCTTAATAATGGTTTTAGAAAGAGAGTTTATTTGAACTTTTCAAGAATAGATGAGAGAAGATGAGATGAGAAAATTGTATGGCAATACATATCAGAATGAAAGAGAAGAAAGGGACGAGGTTGAGTACTCTAGGCATAAAGTGAAGCAAGCTTGGGCTATCTCAACACCAACATAACTTTGGCTGGACTCGCTTTTTTCCAGTCTCTGATGTTGTCAACAGAGGAGTGTGGGTGGGGCAAGGGAATAAGGAGATGGTGGCCATGCAGGGAGAGACAGTAGCACAAAATCTTCCCATGGAAGGGCCTGGGCTTCTCAGCACTGGGACAAAGGATAATGAAGTGAGAAGTCATCCAGGGTCCCACTGCTACTACAGATCAGTTGTAGGCTGAATTGTGTCCCCTAGAGAAATATGTTGAAGTTCTAACTCTCAATACCTGTGAATGGGGTTTGATTTTGCAATAGGGTCTTTGCACATGTAATCAAGGTAAGATGAGGCCATAAGATTGGATTAGATGGGCCATAATCCAATGACTGAAGTCCTTGGATAAGAGAGAAATTCGGACATAGATAAGCAGGCAACACCATGTGAAAACACACAGACACAGGAACAATGCCATGTGACCAGGGATGTAGACTGGAGCAACCGCTAATACTAATAAGAGGCAAGGAAGGAGTCTTCCCTAGAGCCTTCAGGAGCAAGCACCCAGTTTGTGGTATTTAGTTAAGACAGTCCTAAGAAATTAATACAAGAATGAATGGTGAGAGTACAGAAGAACTGACAAATGCATCCTCTAGAAACCAAACATGGTCCAGGGTGCACCAAGATGTTATGCCAGCATTAAAAATGCACCTATAGATCTAAATATATGTATAAATACATTGCCTTGGAAAGCTATCTGTCCATATCATTAAGTCGAATGAATCAGCTTACAGATCAGCATGTAAAATATAACCCCACTTTTGGGAAATTAAATAAGTAAAGTCAGATGTCTGCAAGGGTGTTTGTTAAATTGCTAGGAATGATTACCTCTGGCTGTGGGATTTCAGAGGGCAGCAACTTTTTTTACTCTCTGCTTTTAAGTGCTGTTTCTGTTTTGGAGGACTACAAATTACTTTAATAAGAAGAACATATCTTCCTTAGGAGAATAAAGGTTAAAGCTGAAGAAAAATTCTACTGTTTTCTTTCATATTTGAATCAGACCATGTAAAAGTTAGCTACCAGGCCACTTTGTAAAGTATATGATTGTCTAACCACTATGCTGTACACTTGACACTAACACAGAATAATATTGAATGTAAACTGTGATTGAAAATAAATAAATTTTAAAAAAGAAACACACACACACACAAAGTTAGCTACCAGTGCTGCTGTAGAAGGCCAGTCTGGAAGTGGTGTGAAATTTCTGAATTAGAAACTGAGACAGGGAGATCTTCTCATCTGTTTTCAGGGATTCATCCCCATTCTTCCAGTAGAGCATCAGATCTTCATCTGTATATGCATCTTTGGGGAGACAAAAATAAGTTAATTTGACTCCTTTTCTTCTGAGGCAGGGTGAAGCAACAGGGAAATTCTACACCAGCCCAAGAGTAAACAGTCCTTAATACTGGCAGGCAGTACTCAGTCTCGTGGTTACTAAATGGCACAGATACTGGAGAGGGAGAAAGGCAAAGATTTGTCACTAAGCATACTGATACTCACAGCTTTCCAGCTCCAAAGAACAGGTCTGGGAGTCCAAGGGAAAGTGGGTGAAGTCCATGTTGCACATGGCAGTGACCGTAATCCTAGAAAACGCAAACACACACGTTGGCTCTTGCAGTGTGTTATTGGCTCCTACACCTGCTCAAAGTGAGGAGAATATGGACCCAAACAGAGCAGCTGCCTCTTCATGTCCATTTTAGAAGTTTGGAAACCTAGGTAACTAAGTTACAGAACCTTAACTTTTGTCTTTCTGCAGGAGATATTATGGTGTTCTGCCCATATCCTGGCTACTGAGGGTGTTGGCTGCTAATGGCTCACATCTGTACACTTGCTCTCCATCAGCCTCCCCCAGAGATACCTGGAAGATTACGACACCTCCCTATGCCCCACCCAAGGTATTAGCATCTAATTTGGGTGAATTGTACCAGCAGGCCAGGAAGATGTGAATAAGAGTGTCTAATCATCCCAGTTAGCCCAGAAGCCAACCTGCAACAACATTCAATAAACAGTAGCTCTTTTGAAAAAAATCTTTATTACCTGTAAGCTATCACTTACAGACTCTCAGGGGTGGAATTTACCTAGAAGATTATTGCCTTCCTCAATTCATTCAGGCCCACCTAGCCTCCTGACCCAGGCCTGAGGTCCCCAACAACAGGGAAGTCACCAGCTACTGGGTGGGCCGTTTCATCTTAGAGTGTTTCCACAGGCATCAGAAGGCTTGTATCGCCCACGTGGCCCACAGCCCCAACCACAAGGACAAATTCTTCAGGGCCAGAGAGGCTAAGCACACCTGTCTGAATGGCACTGGGCGAGGAAACCATAGCCCCACGGCAGTCACCTCATGCTGTAGAGCACGTGCCCATCCGGGAACACCCTCAGCATGATGTTATCCGTGGTGGTGTCGTGGGTGAATGACCTTTTGGAGTGAACAAAGAAGATGTCGGGGACCCAGATCTTCTTTATCAGGCGGCCATCAAAGGTCATGCTTTTGTTGCTGGTGCTGGAGAAGGACAGCCTCTCATCCCTCCAGTAGTGCCGCAGGTACAGGGTCATGGTGAAGTCCTGCGGGAGAAATGACTCAGAGAGCCTCCTTCCCCACAGGATTTCAGTCTGAAAACTCTCACCTCCCGATCTCCTCCAAGTGTGGTTCATCTGACCACTCACGTCATTTGCGGAGTGTGTTCAAAGTGTAAAGTGCTGGGCCTTTCTCCCAGAGACTGAATCAGAAACCTAGGGCAGGGCCCAGAGATCTGCGCTGAACCAACTCCCCAAATTATTTTTACCCACGAAGCTTCAGAATCCCTGCTTTAGCTTCGGCTTGGCCCACCCAGCACAGCCTGCACCAAGGCAGCCCCACCAGCCACTGCCTCTCACAGAAGCTTAGCCTCAAGACCCCCACACTCCGGGCTGCCCCACCAGGGCACCACGTACCATGTCCACCTCCGAGATGCTGTCCAGGCTCTCCACCTGCACATCCACACCCACGGGGATGGCAGGGCCTGCAGAAGAGCACAGACAGCTGGTTAAGGCACATTGCTCTCCACCACCGGGCTGGGCGACAGCCCCTCCCCGCTTCCCCGGGGAGCTTGACTGGAACAGAGGTGGGGCAGTGGTTTCAGTTCTATGAGCATTTTCTTGCTACTTCCTGACATGTTGGGTGCCTGAGTTTTCTCCACGAGGGCAGAGACTGTGTCTGCCTCATGTGCCTTTCCTGGGCACGGGCGGATGTTTATCCATGCTTGTCACATGAGTCAAAGACTGGGATTGCTGCTTTCTAATCCCAGGACCATCTCTGCAGGCTAGAGCTGCTAAAGGTGCTCCAAAGCTTGAGTGGAGACCCTGGTCACTGATCCTCCTGTGACATATAAAATGAGGCCCAAGAGCATCTGATGTGGGGTTGGGGTGTCTGCATGCCCAGGGCAGGGTCCATTCAGTCATTCACACTCTACCTGCAGAGAACCTAACAGAGAGCAGGGGTCCTGCCCTCCGGAAGCCTCTGACATGGTGGGAGGTGAGATCTTCTCTGTGCACAGCTAGATCACAGTGAAAGATGACACTGTATGGGGTTTTGAAACCCTTTCAGGACATGGCAGATGAGAAGCACGAAAACACATAGCACAGAAACTCGGTGCTCAGTTGCATCTAGCCTGTGACAAGGTTTCTAAAACCGTGTTTATCTGTGGGTTCCTGTTCTGTTTCTCGGTCTGAGTGATGGCTACACTGGTAAGCTCCCTTAGTGGGCTATACACTTACAATCTGTGCACTTTTTGTTTGTATATTATGCTTTCATAGGTTTTTTTTTTAGATTTTAATACTTTTTTTTAAACCTAGAATAGGAAAAACCCCAAACTAGCATCTGTTAAGCATGTTAATGAATGCTGTTACACTCACAGGCACACAAAGGTGTCTGGGAGAGTCAGGTAGCAAATGGACGGCTCTCCTGGGGGGAGGACAATGTCCTGGGTCCTCTGAGCCCCGGGTGGGGAGTGCAGCACCAGAACATCCTGACACACGGTGGCCTGAGTACAGAGAATTTTGAGGTGGCAGGGGCAGTCTGGTCCTGAGGGAATGAGAAGGACTGGAAGGGACCACGGCTTTGGCTGAGGGCAGAGAAGGAGGATCAGAGGTCCTGCCACAGAGTAGGAACTAGAAGCCTCAGTCTTGTTTCAGCACAGACGCAGGGGCAGGGGGTCCTTGTGGAGGTGGCCCAGGGCAGGGATGGGCTCACGGATGCCTCCAAACCTCCCCCATAGGCTTGCTAATACTTGCAATTCCACCATTAAAGATGTGAGGTTTTGGCTGAGCTCAATAGAATGGAAGCATTTTATGTATTACTAGTGGGATTTCGCGGGTATTTTCTGAGTTCTTAAACATAAAACAAATAAAGAAATACTTTTTATTTTTATCTTTTTATTTTTACTTTTACCCCCTCTTCGAAAAATCAAGGTATAAGTTGATCCTTTTGATTTTCTGTGTTTCTCAACTGAGGGCCCAGGAGAAATCCCTGCTCTAACAGCCGTGTTCTCTTCTCATTCCAGGCCCCAGGGGTGCTTTGCAGTGGCACCCTCAGTGTGGGGAGGAGGACCCCCTCCTCAAGGCTGTTCGTCTGCCTTTCCCCCTGATGGCCTGGCAACAGGGGGGGTGGTCTGCCTGGGGCCTCTCCCACCGCCCAGACCCCTGCACACTGGCACCGGGCTCTGTGCTCCTAACTGCACTAGCAAGAAAGTGGGGCTTCCTGATTCCCTATCCTCTAGACCCTTGGTTAGCCTGACGTGTTAAAACGGCTCAAAGTTTGTTGTCTCAAGCCCTGGTGCTGCTTCTCCTGGAAGGAATGCTCTACTCGACCCACCCACCATGGGACCAGCGACGCCAGTGTTTCAGAAGCCAAAGGGAAGAAACAATATAGCCATCGCCCTTTTGGGACCCGCCTCCCATGGCCTGTTTTTCAGATAATGCTCCCAGTGTTTAACCAGGAGCTGGTTTTGGCGAAGGACATTTTACAGATAAAATATATCAGCTTTCTTGATACCTGGTACTGTGTCTCTCTGTCGTCAGGGCCTGCCTTGCCCTCCCGAGCTCCGGCTGCCCTTCTAAAGAGAATTTGATAAAGCCTGGGGGGTGGTGTCAGTGCTCCCGAGGCATGGCCACGTGGAAGTGCAGGTCAAGTTCGCAGGGAACAATCTGTGTGTTCAGGAGCCTCAAGTTTGAACAGAACCAACCAACAGCCCCTCCCTCCTTGGTCTGAGCCGAATGGAGTTGACCTTTGCCCTGACCTGCCCATATCCAGGCTAATACTCCCAGGCTGTCCTGAACTCTCCATTTTGTGGCCCTTCCCAACCTGCTTCTGAAAGAAATTCTTCCAAATTACTGATCTTTCTCCCTTTCCGTGAACAGGTTTATGTCCTGAGCAGAACTGAGTCTTATCAGGGGTTAGAAAGAAAACAGTGTAGTTAAACTAACGAGGTGTTCGTGGCTTGGCTCCTCAACATGCCTGCGGGATTTCCTGCTTTGAGAGAGGGAGCTGGTGAGGCAAACGGAAGTCCCTGCTGGGATTTCAGGCAGTGGGGCTGGTGAGGTGACAGAGTAAGGCAGCATAAGGAAAATGCATGTTTAGTTGCAGGCTTGGCTTGGCTCCTGACCTTTCTGCTCTTAGTTATTTCTCCTCACGTGGTCCTGGAAAGCACATATTAGGGATTTACCCATCTTTAAAATTAAGATGTGTATCATCTCTTCCCCACTGGCACTTCAAGAACAAATGTGGGACAGAATTTGCAGACAAACTAAAATCGAGAGAATTTGCCAGTGAGTGTCCTGCCCTGAATGAAGGTGTGTTGTAAGCAGGAGCAATGTGATCCCAGCAGGAAAGCTGGGTGTGCAAGAACGAATGAAGAACAACGAAAATGCTAAGTATACACATAATTCTGAGGGGGCATTGACTACATAAGATAATGTATTGTGGGGTTCAAAAAACAAAAACACACAACAAAAATAACATTTAAGTAGGGAGGGGTATCACCAGAGTAAAAGTGTTCTGAGGCCTTTGTCCGGGGGAACAGTAAAAGCAGCTAATTAACAAACTAGTGAGACTCATATTGTTTCCTGGTACATAGTAAGAATATGTAATTTCAAAACTAAAATAGAAAAGACAAAATAAGAATAAGCAAAAATAATCAATCCAAAAGAAAGCAATCATGGGAAAAATATAGAATAGGTTGGACACAAAAAGAATATAGTAGGATGATAGATTTGAAACCAATATGTACATCATTCGGTAAAGGTAAATAGACTCAATGATCCAATCAACAAACAGATATTGTCTGACTTGGTATTTCAGAAATGCTGAAAGTTTAAGCACCTAGTTTTCAACAGAAATATTAGTGTAAATGACTTAGCTCAGGTGGGAAATTGCCACGCACTAAGGACGGGTGCTGGGCAGTGGGGCAGGGCTGCTTTTGGATACTAGCTTTGGTTATATACCCAGTGGAGATCTCTCTCAGACTATAACGACAGTCAAGCAATCAGAGTTGGAGTCAAAGGTGGCGCTTGAGAGGGAGACTGAGAATGGTCATCAGGGTCAGGTAGTTGTAGAAGGGGCTGAGTGTGTTCAGGGAGGAGAAGGGACCCAAGGACCAGAGAAAGAGCCAGGGAAGAGCTACATCATCACGGAGACCACAGCGGGAGGGAGCTGCCAGAGGAGAGCGGCCGTCGGAGAGAGGTCAGTGAGGCCGAGGCCCAGGAAAAGGCTCCTGGACCCCGCAGGTGCCCACTGCAGGTGCAGCGGGCGGGAGTCAGTGAAAGGTAGGAAGTGGAAACAGCTGGTGGAGGTGGGAGCAAAGAGTTTGATAGCAAAAGGAAAACGGATACCGGGCATGGGACATTGTAAACTCTTACTTCCGGGAGTCGTCCAGTGGCTCTCCACCTTCATGAACCAGCATCAAAGCAGGGCTTGTGAGAACCCAGCTGCCCGGGCCTCAGCCCCAGTCTCTGGTGCAGGAGGCCTGGGGTGGGACGGCAGAACTGGGCAAGTGCCGGGTGATGCTCGAAGAAACACATGAGCCAAGGCTCCTGCCTCCTCTGCTAACTCAGTTGTTTGTTGCTTAAATTTATCACGGAAAAAGTTCTCCTGTGTTCTAGAAGTTGATATGGGGAAGGCACTCCAGTGCAGCCAGGGCCTCTGGTCACAGGCGGTGTCCCAGCCCACAGGCTTCCCTGACTCACTTAATGTCAACCCGCCCAATGCTGACCTCTGGGCTTGCCTCTCCGGACCCGCTCCACCCCGCTCCTTCCCGGGGAGTGGACCTCTGTGGGCAGCACCAACATCGGCAGGCCCATCCCAGCCAAGAGTACAATTGGAGGCTAAGAACTTCAAAGTACCACATACTTTATCCTACTTCTTTGACAAATACACCTTCATATCAACCCAGAAGGCCACGTCCCATTTCAGAATTCAGAGACCTCAGAGTTCTGGGCCAGCACATGGCAGGGCGGGGAGAATGAGCCCACTATGAGCCGTCTTTCCTCCTTTCCCGCCCACAGCTGCACCCTGCACAGAGCGCCTCTTGCACATGTGGACGCCCCACTGACATATCTGAGCTCCATCCAACCTGCTTCTGCTGACAGCCACCCTCAGCCGCCGCTCAGGACCAGGCGTGCTCACCCTTACTAGTGAGCTCCCTTTTCCCTGGATTACCTTCCTCTTTCTGTCCACCGGGGTAACCCCCTGCACATCTTGCTAGACTCACTGTGAGTGTCACCTCCTGGCTGAAGGTTTCTCTGATTCTCTCTCTGGAAGAACTGACCTCTCCCTCAGTTCGCTGACGCCATCGGTAGGGGCAATCCTACTTTGCTCTGTGACACTTGATTGCACTTAATCATTTATCTGTTCCCCCAGTAGACTCCCTGAGAACAATCTATTGTTTCAGGCAAAGTACTTGTGTGTGAAGGACTTCCATAGCCTGGAGAAACTTCGATGTGCAAGAGAAACATCATGGGCAGCCTCTTGCACACCCCCTACTGGGGACCTGGCCCGAAATCCAGGCTTGTGCTCTGATCAGGAATCCAACCAGTGACCTTTCGGTTTGCGAGATGGGGCTCAACCCACTGCCAGGACGTGATTTGACATCTTGATTTAAGGATTTCATGAACATTGGTCTCCCCACCTACAGCGTAAAAACTGCAAGAACGGTGGCTGTCTTGTTCACGACTGCGTCCCCAGTTGCCACAGACCCTGACACATAGTCGAGAAAACACAAGGGGCTGGGGGAAGAGAGCAGCGGGGAGCCAGTGTTCAGTGGGTTCAGAGTTTCGCTCTGTGAAGATGAGAAAGTTCTGGAGAGGGATGGAGGTGGGAATTGTACAACAGTGTGAACGCACTTGATGCCAATGGTTAAAATGGTAAATGTTATGTTATGTTATATATAGTTTACCACAATTTTTTAAAAATTAAATTTAAATGTTAAAAAAATCGGCACTACAATATTTCTCCTAACAAATGGAGGAGAAGCCATGGGCCTCTGGAGGCTCACCTAACAGGGACGTCACCGCACCAGGCGGCTGGGAGCGCAGACAAGGTATTCGTGTTTCAGCTGGTCCCTGGGGTTATTAGGAAGCTACTAGCTTTTTAGTCTTTTCTCTCTCCACACTGAAAAGGTCATCCAAGGGGTATCAAGTCTTAGACAAATTTCTCTTTATCGATTACTTTTAAAAATCAATGCACAAGAAAGTCTCTTTTAGAGAAGTAAAATAGGAAGAGAAGACAGAAATGAGAAGAAAGATTCCACAACTTTTGCGGGACATCTTTGTTCAAATAACCTGCTTGGTGTGTGTGATTGCGATGGGAAGGCAGGTGTTAGGCTGGTTTCAGGGCAGGTTGGGCCCAGGCTCTGCCTCTTAATGGGGGCCATGCACAGAGCTACCCCCAAGGAAGGAGCACCTTCTGTTATTTGCAGTCAGCTATGTTCTGTCTGGCAGCCTCCTCCTCCTCAGAGATCCACTGGTCCCCTGGCCAGTGCCTCTGCCCAGGAATGAGGTGCATCCACAAGCAAGGCCTCATGGATCTAAGCCACCTCCAGACGCTCCCAGGGATTAGAGTTTGTAACAGCCGCAGGAACTGCAGGGGATGAGAAGCCCTGCCTGTGATGGCCCCATCCTGCCTGCTGGCTGGGACTCCAGGAGCCTCAGAACTACTTACTTACAGGCTTGTGGGGGCATGGAGCTGACACCTCGTTATATGCTCTCCTTCCTCTCTTCTTGCCAAGTGACATCTGGACATCCAGGAAAGCCTTACAGGGGATATAAGGTGCCCAGAGGGCCGGCTGCCCTGGGAGGAGGGAGGCGTGGCCCCCACTCTACGCTTTGGTGACTGAGGTCATGACAGCTGATGTGTAAGAGCCTCAGGTCTTATGGCACCTGCTGCAGGTGACGCCTTCTTCCTCTGCAGCTTCCAGCAAAGTCAGGGCCTTCCCCAGCCTCAGAAGCTCAGTCAGGCAGGGGACTAGTCTGGCCATGCCCCACTCTAGTGGTCCCCATTAATGGGCCCAGTAGTTGCAGGGTTTGGGGCACAGGAAGTCCAATGTGCTCCTCAAACCCCGCTTGAGGAAGGAGCACCCCGACGGGGGTTGCAGCCCATTGGATGATTCTGCGCAGAGCTGGGTTTGCTGGGAACCTGGCTGACCTTCACCTGCCAGCCCTGAGAACTGGCTGCTGGCTCTGCTGACTTTCTCCCAGAGGAGGGGGCATTTTGATCAGGCTTCCAGTTTTGCAGCTGACATCTCAGAAAAAACAAGTTCTGCCCCAGCTTTCTGTGGCTATCACTTAACCCTCTTCCTTCTGTAAACTGGTAACTTACAGACTTGCTCAGATGACGAGGTGATTGCTCAGGCTCCTGCCACCAACAACGGCCTCTGATAGAAAGTCACAAGACATTGTTCAGAGTATCACCCACACCCCAGCACACACACCTGCCCCACAAAACTGTGCATTCAGTCGGGGCCATGTTATGACTTCTTGTGGGCCCCAGGTGTTTTTGCCTTCACGGGCCCCTTCTTCCAAAAAAAAAAAAAAAATTAAAAACCACATTTTACAACTATATTGGTATAAAAATGAATATACTAAAAACAACTTCTCTACCAAAAATTTCTCTTTTTATTCTGATTTTAAAATAAATTAAAATATTTTTAGGGTCCCCAAGAGCATGGTTTGTGAGCCCTCAGATGCTGTGGCTTTTCTGCCCAATGAATGTGCCACTGAAGGACATACTGATGGAGGAGACAAGAAAGAGACCAGGGTGGGAGGGAGAGTCTAGCCTGAGCATCAGTGTGGCCTGGGTCAGTCACTTCACCTCTCGGTGCCTCGGTTTCCCCAACCTAGGGATAATTACAGTACTTCACAGAAATTAAGTACTGAAATAAGATTGTATGTGTAAATACCTCCATTCAAACGGTGCCTAGCACAGAGAGGAATCACTAAAAAAGTGTTGGTTGTCACTAATCCTATTGTTTATTATTGTTCTAGCCACCTAGCTGGCCCTCTGGACCTTCACCAGCGCTGTACAGGGAAGGCAAGGTGAAGTTTCCTGCTTACGGGGACATCTGACTTGGGCCTCCTGGAGCCGATCAGCTATTTTAGAACTGCTTGTTCAAGAAAACTTTATTTTGATAAAATTCCTTGGCAACATTGCTCATGGCAGGCGCCCAGGGAACCAGAACTCCCAGAGAGACAGTGGCCGGCTGACCGAACCAGCCGGCAGTGTTCAGTCAGCGCTCCAGGCAGGGAGACCAGGCTCAGCCTGTGATCTGCTGCCAACTTTCCTCCTTTTGCTCAGCAGGTGTCAGAGCCCAGGGAATTGAGTGGGAGGCTCAGGGGCCTTTTAAAATGCAGAGGCCTTTGGGTAAATTAATGTCTTAATCCCTTAACAGGCACATGAGAAGAAAGCCGGGAACCTGGGTTTTTCTAAGGGGAGGTGAACGGGGATGTGCTAGGGGCTTTACATGCATTATCTGGTTTCATGCCGACACCAACCCCCTTTTACCAACCACCAAGTGCAGGCTCAGAGAGGGCCACTGACTTGCCCACAGGTCACCCCTACTCCTTCCTGCCGCCCCAGGAGAATGCTGGGACCCAAGTGAGGATCAAGAGCAAAGAAAAGGGGAACTGGATGCCAGCCTGCCTGGGTCATCTAGGCCGGGGTCTATCAGCCGAAATGCTCCAGGCTTCTGATTGATTCCCCACACACACAAGGTGGTGCTGGTCCGCACCGCGTGCATGCTGCTGTCCCCACCCCACTCCCTGTCTGCACAGAGCAGCCAGCTGGCTCCTTTCCACTGTCCTGTGGCACTTCTCCAGTTCCTGAAAGGGACAGCCACCAGCCATGCCACTCCTCCCTGACCCCCAAATCAGGGAAGCTCCATAGGGACAAGTTTGCGGAGGGGCTTTAATGGGGCTTTTGCTATTATTTGCTATTTTTGTTATTGCACAAAAAGCAGGGGCCCCCTCGAAACCCAAGTTTTCCAGCTAGGCACAGTGTGCCTGAGCCAGGGAGCCACTTGGGGTCCGGACTCCTGGCCAGCTCTTAATTTTTTTAGGAAAGGAAAGTTGGCAGTGGGTGAGAGGGCCTGTCCTTTCTGAAAGTTCGCCAGCTGCTCTTCAGTCAACAGCCCTCCCCACTCGCTTCCCTCCTGCTCTTTCGTCCTTGGGAAAACGAGTGACTCTGGAAGCCATTGGGCTTATCTGACTGCAAGAGGGAATCTAGCCTGAGAGAAGGGACTGCGCAGCAGCGGGCGGCCCTGGGGACAAGGCCCCACCAGGCCAAGGGAAGGACACATCCTACCTCCAAAGGCAGGCCTCATGGTGAAATCGTGGTCCTCCACTCTGAGAAGTGGCCGAGGTTTTCCTTTCCGGATTTTGGTCACGTCGAGGTTGTTCTTGTAAAGGTGACTGCAAAGACGAGCAAGAGATGTTTTTCCACGGCTCTTCAAGGCATGGAGTGAGATCATTTGGAGAGATTACTTCTTTCCAGAACTACCATTAAGCACCTTTTCTCCAGCTGGCTCTAAGTCACACCCACCTCCCCACCCCACCCTGCCCCACCCCCGCCCCAGGCCCTCACGGGCAGGCTGAGGGTTGAGCAGACCCTTCCAGAGCCTCCCTAAAGCCAATGCCTCCCCAAAGGACCCCATTCTACCCTGACAAGCTTCAACCGTCAAAAGTTATGATTAGAAGTAAGTTGTTGGGTTGAATGGTGGAGGAATTAAAATGTGGGGGTGGGGCGGATTGAACATTTTTCTTATGTTGTAATAATATTGGTTTTATGATCAATAAAAATCTGAGACAAATACAGTTAAAGTTTTAAAATGCTGTTTTTGTCCTAGTCAGACCTAATGCTGACATCAGTCCAGTTGGCAGCCATCTGCAGAGTCCAACCCCCTCAATCCATAGCCTGCCCGGACCAGGGCCAAGCTGTACACAGTTTCTCCTGCCACCCAGGTAGAAGCTGGAGCTGGAGGAGCCTGGCTCACTCTGTTTCCTCTAACCCAGATGATAAAGGATCAATTCTCTCTTCTCCCTCATTCACACTCACTCTGTCCAGACCTTTCTTCCCGCCACCATCACACAGAGCCCTAAGGCAGTAAAATCCAAAATGTCCTAGAGCAGGATCCTACTGACAGGACTATGACTAAAGGAGAAAAAAGAGGGGAGGAACAGAGGGAGAGGGAGGAAGGAGGGAGGAAGAAAAGGGGAGAGAAAGGAAGAGGAAAAGGAGAGAGGGGGAGAGGGAGGGAGGAAAGGAAAGAAAAGGAAAGGAAAGGAAAGGAAAAGGGAGGGGAGGGGAAGGGGAGGGAGGAAAGGTCATTTGGACATTTGGATGTGAGATCTAATTGTTGACAGAATAAAATAAGCAACTTCATAAGAAATCAGTGTTACTATAATGTTTGCTATATGTAGGTTATTTAAGGTTTTGGAAGTAAATGAAGAGATTTTGTTTTCAGTGTTTGTTGGTCATTTATACATACCTCTATTTTGCTTAGTGTTCTTATCATATTTCACTCAACTTTTTAGAAAACGTAAGCACACCTGCTGTATAAACCCTGTAAGGGGAAGTGACATGCTCCCTCTTTTGAGGTCCTGCTCTTCGTGAGGTCTGCCTCTGAAATCCTAACTTTCATTTGCTACTAGCTCTGCCCCGACAGTATCCTTTGGTGGGAAGTCTAAAGCTGTACTGATGTACAGCTGTAATGGCCACTGAATAAAGTGGCCATTAGCCACATGCAGCTGCTTAAGTTAATTAAAATAAAATTAACGTTCAGTTCCTCAGTTACACCAGCCATATTTATGGGCTCCATAACCACATGCGGCTGGTGGCTGTCATATTTGACAGTGCAGATACACACCACGTCCATACCTGCCAAGAGCTTCACAGTTCAGTGTTGGTCTAGAGGTCGGCCTGCCCCCCGTCCCTCTCCCTTCCCACGCAAGAAGCAGATTCGTCTTCAAGCTGGGTCTTCTCATTTTATAGCTCTACTCTCAGAGCCCCCGGTCCAGCTCGAGACCTCCCAGTCATTCTCCCCCTTTCACTGAGGGCTCTGCCACCCCATTCAGTCCCCCCACCACCAACCTTAAGGATGCCAACATCCATCCGGACAGCTGTCCTACACTCTGGTCATACAATCCCTCAATTCCTGGACTCCAGTTCATTTGCTAAACACATTTCCATGGGGCACCTACTCTGTCCAGATGCTGTCGGGTCATATTCACTGCCTTCACAGGGCTGATAACTTTGTTGGGGAGATTAAATAATAACATGTAGACAGGTAAATAATGTAACTTCAGGAAGTGCTGAGTGCCACAAAATGTAACAAAGCAGGGTAAGGAATAGGAGAGCGATGGGTTAGGGTGGAGGCTGGTCAGGGAAGCCTTCTGAGACCAGCAGGGGAGGAGGGAGGGAGTGAACCTGGGGCAGACCTGAAGCGCATTCTGAGAGGGGACAGCATGTACAAATGTTCTGAGGTGACTCTGGCTTGTGTGCTAAATAGTAAGAGAACCAGTGGGCTGGAGGACAGCAGGGAGATCCTTCTTGAAGAAAGGTGGTGGGAGACAAGGCCAGGGACCAGATCGCAAGACCCTCATGCATATGATCCTGGGTGGGGAGACCCATGGACATTCTGAGCAGGAGAGGCAAGAGGCCTGGTTTAGGACCTGATGAGATCGCTTGGTTCTGGTGTGGAGGAGACTGTAGGAGCACAGCGTAGGAACAGGAGACCATTAGGAAACTTGCTGAGGCAACACGGTGCCTGGACGAGGGTTGGGGGGAGTGTAGAGAAGTGATTAAATCTGAGGCAGACGCAAAGGTCTGGCTGATGGATTGGGCGTGGGGTATGAGGGAAAGGAGGGGCCAGGGTGACCCAGGTTTACAACTTGGACACATGGGTGAGTGATGGGCACATTCCTGGAGGTGGTAGAAACTGGCATGTTTGTGGGATGGGTGTGCACCTAATTCTTATGAACCATCTGATTTTGAGATGCCCGCGAGTCATCCAGGGAGAAGGCGAACAGGGAGAACAGGCGACTCAGAAACGTCCACTTCCCTCAGTCTCGTAGGTTCTACAGGTAACTAGGAGCTACGTGCTAGGTTCTTCTCCCAGAGCCTTTTGAACTTGACCCTCAGACACCTTCACCTCAGCTTTCCCGCACCTTCTTTTTTCACAGCTCATTCTCATCAGCATTCAAACTGGATTTAAGTCTCTCCCACCTTGAACCAAACTAAATGAAAAATTTGTCAAGATCCCATCTCCTCCTCACACAACATTTATTGGGAAGTGGCAGCAGTACAGGTGTGGTAGTTATATTCTTCTCTCAACATTTCCAAAAAAAAAGTCTTCCCCTTCCCAATAAATAAATAATTCTCGCTCTGACTGATGTGGCTCAGTTGGTCGGGCATTGTCCCACAAACTAAAAGGCCACTGGTTCAATTCCAGGTCAGGGCACATGCCTGGGTCACAGGGTTTGGGGAGGTCCTCAGTCTGGGCGCATATGAGAGGCAACAGGTCAATATTTTTCTCACATTGATGTTTCTCTTCCTCTCTTTCTCTCTCCCTTCTCCTCTCTCTAAATATAAACAAAGTATTTAATAATAATAAATCTCCCAAAGAGAAGAAGTCTCAGAGTTCCATGAGCTCCTCCCACTTCCTCACCTCCAAGCCCTTCTTGCTTCACTTGTGCCGGAGCCGAGGCCCTGCAGGTGCCCGTGCTGAGGGCCGGCTTCCCCAGCGGGGAGCGCAGGGCACTCGGTGTCCTCCCACCGCTCTGACAGTTTCTTCTCAGTCTCCACTGCAGCCACCTCCTCGTCCTATCCCTTAAGTGCCAGCGTCCCCAAGGCATTTGTCCCAGCCTTCTCTCTCTCTCCACTCTCCTTGGCAGGCTGGTGTATGTTAGTAGCTTCAATTGTAATTAGCATCCTGATGATTTCTAAATCTATGCCCCTCTGCCCTAGAACTTCACGTATGACTGCCGGATTGTCCCCGGGTGCGTCTCCTATAGGCACTTAAACTCCACACACCCATACTTTGGTTTGGGGCCCAGGGAGTGTGAGGTGACAGAGCCGAAGAAGGGTGAGTGGGTGGATATCAGATGAAATGGGGGTAGGGATCAGATAAAATGGACAGAATGAGGCTACAGAGGCAAGCAGGGGCCAGGCCGGGAAGAGCCTGGAAGATCATGTTAAGAATTTTTTCCTGCCCTGGCTGGGTAGCTCAGCTGGTAAGAGCGTCATCCCAATACACCAAGCTTGCAGGTTCAATCCCCGTTCAGGGCACATACAATGACCACCAAGGAATATATAAATAAGTGGAACAACAAATCAGTGCTTCTCTCTCCCTTTCTCTCTCTCTAAAAGCACCAATAAATAAACATTTAAAAAAATTTTGTCCTTATCCAGAAGGAAAGGGAAAATACTGACAGAAGTTAAGCAACTGGAGGGAGAAGCCATGATGCTTTAAAAAGGGAGAGACACAGTGGGAGAGAAACATCACTGTGAGAGAAAAACACACCGATTGGTTGCCTCTTGTATGAACCTGACCGGGGACCAAACCAACAACTTAAGCATATGCCTGACTGGAAATTGAACCTGTGACCTTTCAGCTTACAGGACGATGCTCAACCAACTGAGAGCTACACTGGGCCAGGGAGGTGAGATTTGCTTTTAGACAAGCCAACACTGCAGCTCATATCCAAGGAGGGTGTCCAGTGTGACTTCCTCCCCCCTTTAGCTGGGATGCAGGACCTCAGTCCAGTTCCCTTGAAGCATGTATGTGACCACGGTCCGAGTGCTTCCAAGAAGCGTCCACTCCCACTGGTCTCCTCCCCAAGCCTCAGCAGGGATCCAGTTTCCAACGCAGTGACTGCCTGAGGGGCCCAGTTCAGATGCCACAGCAAAGACACCCCAGGGACCAGGAGGGGAGAGGAGAAGGTCCTCGGGGCTTAGCAGATCACAGACGTCAAATTGTGAGGGCAGCGAATCACTGCCCCTCTACCTCCCACGGAGCAAATCCCTCCAGGGCAGTCGTCCCGTGTCCGTTAAGAGAGGAGGATTAGGGGAACAGATGTCCCAGAGTGCCAGCACCAGCAAGAGAGAGGGTTGAAATCCCAGTGCCATTAATGAGAGTCTAGAAATTGTTTTTGAGGGCCCAGTTATTCAATAACTCAGGCCACTGATACCCTAAGTCTTAGGCTGGTTGTGTGAGCCATTCATCTTTCTGCAGGAGTTGGCCCGGCTTGGCCCAATGCCCTAGCCCAGCACCGTGGCTCTGGGACCCCAGACTCTAGGGGCCAGATCTCAAATCCCTGCCCTGTGGTGGAGCAGCCAGAACCTTCATGGGAACCCCAACCCAGCCTTTGTGGGGAAAGAGAGAGAGAAAAATGTGTTTACAACGTCTTTGAGAAGCAGGGCTAATGCCGTGTGTTGAGGTTATTTGGCAGCAATAAGAGCAACCATAATGACCATGCCCTCAGGGACCGCCCCCTTGCGGAAGCCACCCATCATCCCAGAGAGGAAGGTCTCACCACCCACCTTTTCAGTTGGAGAACCAAGGTTCAGAAAGATAAGGAAACATGGCCACATGGTCAGGGAGCAGCAAAACAGGGCCTGGACCTGGTTCCCCTGACTCCCTGACTCCACTACCTTCCCCAGACTCTAGGGTGGGGATGAGGGTCACGGGGTAGCAGGAGAGCAAAGCTGCTTCTGGGTCCAGACAACTGAAGCCATGATGAAAACCAAGGGAAGGGTGGCCGAGGGCAGGTGGCACTGAGGTGGCGGCAAATGGGAAAAGAAATATGAAAGGGGACCCAGGGCTTGGGGAACAGGAAGTTGTAATCCAGGGCAGACCCAAACTCCCAGGGCCCAGAGTTCGGTTTATTTTCCGATCTCAAAGAAGAAGGGCCTCTCTTGGCAGGAAAGCAGTGATGCGGTCAGGAGGCCCACTCAGGCAGCCGGGTGGGGGAGGAGTTGGAAGAAAGCTGGGAGGCTGAGAAACAAGAACAGAACAAAACAAACAGCTCAGAGAAAACATCTCAGGAGGCAGTGACTCAATAAGTAGAAACACAAAGGGTCAGAAAACCTGGGCAGTGTTTGGAAAAGCCGGTGCTGGGCAGAATAATGGTTTTGGGAGAGTGCCATGGCCAAGGCGAGGCAGGAAAGGTTTGCAGGTTAACAGTGTGTGACAGTGTGTGTGACCGTGTGTGCACATGACCATATGTATTACATGTGAATGTGTGATACCATGCATATGATATGTGTGACCATGTACATCGAGTACTGTGTGAATGAATGCGTGAATCTGTGTTATATGTGGTATGTGTGTATGACTGTGTATGTGCATGTGTGTGGGTGTGAACAGGACTTCTAAGGAAAGGAGCCACCCTGCAGAGGTGAAGTGCTCTAACACTGCCAGGGCCAGTAATTTTATTCCTGTTTAGTCGTATAGCTCAACCCTTGGGTGTCGGTAATTAAATAATTTTTTAGTCAGGTGCTTGGCTGGAATTTGCCACAGACTGACAGAGCTCTGTGGGTGCCTGACCTGTGCATGCCTGGTGGGTGTGGGAAGGCCTGGAGCTGTGTTCTCTGGCACAATGTTTTCTCTATCTCTTTTTCACCCTCTGCTCAATAATTATTTTATATTCTTTAAATGTGTGTGTTCTTTTTTCACTCACTTTAACACCTCATGGGATGGATTTCAAGAAATTCTCACCGGCCCTAGAGGGTGTGGCTCAGTGCACTGAGCGCCAGCCTGTGAACCAAAAGAAATTCTCCTCAGCCCTCAGGGTCAAGGTCAACTGTGCAAGTATCTGGGAATGAACCTGGGTCTTCCGAGGAGTGACCGAGACGTGACTGCACAGGCTACAGTGGGGCCCCAAGCCTCCCTGAGGGGCTCGTGTGGAACCCCAGCACCTTTCTTAAAGAACAGAGTTTCAGGCGTCTTTTCTCTGGGCTGCGTGAGTCAGAAACCTACGTTCTGGGCCTGTCGAGCCACTAGCCAACCATGTTCATTACTTGTGCCTTCGATCCCACATTTTGGCATCTGTACAATGCCAGTTTCCTTGTGCCTGCTCTATGAAGCCCCTAAGACACTCCAAAGAAGTATGGTTGGGTTTTAGGGGAGGGTGTTTGTTTTGGTTTTTGTTGTTTTGTTTTGTTTAACAGGGCATAATTTACCCCCCTTTTCAAGATTCACAATGTCTATTTGCATAATAAGGCTCTAAAAGTTCTGCTATAAAGACATCTGTTAAAAATGGCCTAAACCAGGGCTTCCCAAGCTTTTTTGACCCTGAAGCCCCCTTTTGACACAATGCCTATGCACATTGCCCAGATTTAGGACTCAGGAGAATGGCTGGACCAGATGACCTCTGATGTCCCTTCCAGTTTCAACAGCCAATGATTCTAAAAACATAACCCGGCTAAGGGCCCCGGAGCAAGACCTCTTTCCCGCATCCTGGATTTTTATCTCTGCTTTCTGACCCAGCGGGATTAGGCTCTCCAGAGTATTTACACTTCTCTGGGCAGCAGACTCCAAAGCCTGGCCACACGCCTGGGGTGCTCAGGACGATCCTTGAGGATTCAGGAAGCAGAGATTGTGACTCTTATAGTTCTTATCTAAAAATAAGGAAGCAATCAAGCTTTCATATGCAGACTTACAATAGTACATGCATGTAGTTTGTAATGAAATGTACACATGTACTGGCAGTGCAAGTTCAAAACAGTCACCGAGAGCAGTGCCTGATTGAAAATAGCGAACACTGACCTAGAAAATGTGCCTCAAGATACTAGTTTATATTCATAACCGCGAGTTCACACAATGCTTAGTGGAATGGAAAACAAATGTGTGACATCTCACATGCGGTGTTTATCTTATCTACTTGCTCTTTCCTTCATGCTCCGCGCTGTTAAGTCTGCATCAGGCCTGCAGTTACCATGCTTTGCACGTCACTTCAAAACATTACTAAGGAACACTGATTAGTAATGTAATGATCTTGGACGCAAATTCTAGGCCTAACCGGTATTTCTTGGAAATGTTTCCATTACATCCTGAAGTGGCATTCACCATTGTCCTGATGTATATTTCTGATAATCTAGCAAATTTCAAACAACTTTTCTAAGATTCAAAACAGTAAACTAAAACCCAACACCATTATAAAGTTATTCCCCATCAAATAATTTAAAGACAACTCCCAGGTACACTGTTTCTTAATAGATAAGGCCAAATTCCCATACACAGGCCCCCACACACTGAGTGTAACTACTCAGGCCATGCACGGTCCCTGCAGGATATAACCCTGAGATACGAAGCAGCGCTATCTGAGACATACAGAGATGTTTTCCCCACCAAGTTTTCAGTCAGCTACCTGCCTGAAATCCAACACTTCGGCCAAACACAGACATCAGGATGAAGGCTCCACCCAGCCCAGCTTTGCTGGCTCACTGCTGGTGACACGACGGGTTTGTGCCCTGCCGCCCCCTCTCCCACGACTTTACCTTGGTCTGGGTGCTTCCAGCTGCCCTGTCCATCTCTTCCCCTTGGGCTCTCTGCTCTCCACAAGAACCATCAGGCAAAGCAGTAACAAAATGAGTTTTGTAAAATAAGGCATTTTGTGAATATCTATGATGCCACAAGCCGCTTTCCAGGGACCTGACTCCGGGCAAATACCCTGGGCTCAGCCATTGATAGTCGGCAACTTCGTGATGGCGCTCCTCTGAGGGGCTGCGAGGGCACGGCTGGCCAGGCTGATCTTCCCGATTTAATATTTGATACTGATTCTTGCCCCCCCAGCCCTGCACTCCCCAGGACGTGACTCAAATGCCAAGGCTTTGCCCTCCCTGCTGCTCAGTGATTGGTCATTAGTCGGGTTTGTCCTCCTGTAAAACTCTGCTTCCGCTGCGTTCTAGAACAGCTTTGGCTAAAACTGTTATATAAAAAAATTAAATCTCTTGAACATGCCAACTTTTTGCTGAAATCATTAATCCGTCTCTTTGGCTACATAAAACCAGTCTGTCACATTCACCGGGGAGTCAGCTTGGATGCTGAGTGGATTTGCAGGAAAGGCTTCTTGGACATGGAGATGAGTTTGAACATGCTCAGGAAATGCTGAGTAAGCACCCAAACGACCCATTTTCCCAGGGCTGCTTTATTTCTTGTCTAAGACATTGTGCCTTGCAAAGACTCCATGACCACAGAGGCTTGATTTCCCCCCCAAATAACATATTAATTTTTTCAATGAAAACACATCAAAATTAATGAAAAACACATCAAAATATAAATTACATTTTTATTTTGAAGGAAAGCATATACCAAAAATTCAGAATTATATAACTTCTTCCTATCATGAGCACTAGATTAATTTTGGTTTTTAACCATAAAATGTATAATGCCAAGCATCATAAATTAGGCCTGATGCCTACCCTAAGATATGGAATCATATGGCTATGTTCAACCTCCTAACAGAATAAGGTGTTTCAGAACTTACTGCCTGCCTGTTGCATCTGGGAATGGAAAGAGCGTTCTTGTGGTAGATACTCAGGGAGGTGGGGATGGAGGTCAGGAAGGGCAGTAGCCAGAAGTGAAACCAAATTAGGCTTTTATTATGTGAGAAAGAATCAAAAGGACCTCTTTTGATTCCTTAGCAAAGTGGGATGACATTCATTTTATTTTTTTAAGTGTCTAAGTAGAATCAGTTGAATCAGGCAAGTTGTAATAATAAAAGAGGATAAGTTCCTGCCCTAAAAGAAGAAGACAGAGGAATTGGAGGGAAGACAGAACTTGACTCTGGCACAGCCGAGTTATCACTGCAGTAGAATACACTTGGGGACCGAACAGGGCAGGAGGTAAGAGAAGTCGGCAGTGATATCTAGGTTCTAGTGTGGAAGGAAGTCTGGTGATGGTACAACCATTAGCTGATATCCAGTACAGGTGGGCATGTTTGGTGGGGGGATAAGGTAAATTTTGACTTGTGGAGTTTGAGGTACCCTGGGACCTCCGGATGCCTAGTAGGCAGCTGGAAAGGAGTTTGGAACTCATGAGAAAGGTCTGGACTGAAGAAACAGACTTGGTGCCATCAGTGTTTGGATGACAATTCAATCACAGAAAAGGGGGATCTTCCAGGGAAACAAAAGGGACCCAAGTCTGAGCACAAAACCTTGGAGAATCTACCCTTTCAGAGGATGGATGGGCTGCCAGAACAAAAGCACAGAACTAGCTAAAGAGGCTGACTGTGAAAACCAAAGGAGTTTCAGGGAGGAGGGTAGCCTGCAGTCAGTGCTGCAAGGTGAGGGCAGAAAACAGGGTGCTGGTTCTGGCAACCAGAAAGGACATGGTTCCTGACTTCAGTTAACTTCACTTCCCAACTTCATTTCAGTTGTGCATGTGGCAGGAAGCCAAGTTCAGTGAGTTAAATAGCAACTTGGGAGTGGGAATAATTCAGTATGGGAACTAATTCAGTGGCTCCCAAATCTGGCCACTCTCTGAATTATTCAGGCAGCTTGTTTAAAAGCCCCATTTCTGCCAGAGATTTAGCGGGGAAGGGGAGAGACCTATTAAAGTTATTTCCCATAGATTTTCTTCAAAAGATCTCTCTTCTTTGCTTCTATTTGGAACAAGTCTATAAAAGACTGGCTGGAACTCTTGAATTGTACTGGATGTGGGATTTCAAGAAATATTTGTTTCATTGTGTTCCAGGTGCAATTTTAGGTCCTACCAATATTTTTTAAACTTTTCTGTTGGGAACTGCCTTACCTGGTTTCAGAAGCTGTAACCCCTCCGTGGCTAAGGCTGAGTGAGCTACCTTCGGACCATAAGCCACTGAGGAGACAAAGCTTATCTCCCCAGCAGGGGCACTGCCTCTGCTCCTTTTACTTCACCCTGCCTGGCCCCCAAAGCTTGATGAGTTAGCTAATAAAGGGTAAGATTCCCCAAGGGGGGACGACCTAAATCAGGCACGATCACGTGGAGGCCCCAGGGAAAGACTTGGGGGGCTATAACAAAAGGGGGGGGATGGACCCTTGACCCTCAGCTTTGACACACCCTGAGTCCTCATTCTGTCTGCGAGAAGTCTCCTAATCTCTTGGCTGCCTTACTTCCCCTGCCTGACTTAAACCTGAAACAATGCTATAGGTGGGTGCGGCCCTGTGCTGGAAAGGGCAGGTTCCCTGGGTGATCAGGCCTGAGAAAGGATATGTCAAACCTGGGAAACCTATGTCAAACCTTGGGAAACCTGCCTTGCTAAGAATGCTCTAAATTAAATGATAAGGGTATGAGCAGGAAATGAGTTTGTTTCCCAAAGTTTTGTAGCCCTTTAGCTAACAGACCCTAACTCAGAATAGGCCCTCAGAGTTCTTTGTATGCTATTGTTTGATCCTTACTGCCTGACAATAATTAATGAATTTTACCTGTATTCCTGTGCTAATTGAACCCATTAAAAACCTGTCCAGGCAAGGGTCGGAGCACTCTCCCCTTGAGAGTTCAAATCTGTGAGGTTCACTTGTTTATTGATTCTGGTTTATAAAAATGGGAGGTCTCAAAACACCAGAAAGTTTATTCATAGCTAAAAGTAACAAAAAAGATTTCTTATTCTCCTGAAATGGAGATTTTGTATTTCTACATTCAAAAAAAGAAAATAATTTTTTTAAGTTTAAAAAAAAATATTTGTTGAGAATTTTGATGAAATTCATTTATTTCAGTAGAATAAAAACAATAAGCAGCATGAAAGTGTAAAGCGTTACATAAAAGCCCCACAACACATAAAACTGGAAAGGTTTCATTTGCTTGAACACTTACCAGGTGAAACAGACATTATATACCTTTTCAAGCATGCTATTTTAACTACCTGGGTAGGTAGGCAGGCACTATGTTGGCCAAAGAAAGAGTCACTGAGCTACCTTAATCTGAGGCCTGGGGAAAGAATGAGTCCTAAGTCTTTACCTGCCAAATCACACCTCCAGTTTTGACCATATGCTGTAAATAGTGGGTTAAAAGGGGCTTTAAAAAATAATAGTTTTATGAAGAGGCCCATCAGGTGGGGTTTGAGTATGAATGGCTCCGAAGGTCAATTTTGCTCAGGAACTCCACAATGGGGTGCAGACGGACCACTTCAGGATTTTTAAGTAATATGTTAGAGCTGAAAGGGAAGCAGTATTAAAGATGCCACTTTCAAATATGTGCATCGGATGTGGAAAAATAAACCCCAACATAAACAAGGAAGTGGCCTGTCAGGTGACAAGTGAGGGAAGAGAAGCTAACCAGATAGAAGAGGTCCCGCACAATGCAACACCTTCTCGGCTTAGTCGACTTGGAAGTGAAAGTACATCCCATGGAAACACGCAACAAGATCACGCAGATCCAGAGGCCAGCTCAGGTGTGACTGAGAGGAAGTGGAGGGGGACCATTCCTAGCACAAGGTCCATCTCCACGTGCGCTGAGAGCACGGGGATTTCCTTCTCCATAGTAATACTGCCTGGCCTTCCAGGGTCAGTGGCCCTGGTTTGGAGACCAGTGATGACTGAACCAATATTTAGTATCTTGTGTTGTAAACCAAGACTTCAGAATGCATTTCCTCATGGCAATAAAGTTATAAAATGGTAACTTATTGTTTTCCTGACATATGAGGTCTTCATCAAGTCCTTGGGCTTTTTAGACTTTACCAACTACAGCTGTAGATACAACAGAAACAATCTGTAAACACTTTTAAAATGTTCATTTATTAAAATTGAAAACAATGACGTATTATACCATAGCATACAGTATGCTGTTCTTTTAGACACAAAAGAAAGTGGCTCTGGGCTCGGGAACTGCGTCTGGCGGCCACCAGCGCCCAAGTCCCCTGCAGGAGTGCATACCGCACATGCCTTTAAATTGCTTTACGTCTAGCTTGTCCATAATGTCAGTTAGTTAAACACATAAGGACTTTATGGATACCATCTCCCAAATTACTCGATACATTATGGACCAACTTTTATGGACTGGTCTAGAGCCTAAAAACCATTTACAATGATGTGTAAAAAAATTAACTTACCAATGTACTTTGACAGCATAACCTATTTGGAAGCTGGGGACTACCTGTGTTTATATAAAAATTAAGTCTGCACTTACAACACTCAAAGAGTGCCTCCCATGTTGCCAGTAAACATGCTGAAGGCAATGTTTTTCTGTGATTATATGTTCTCACTCAGCATTATGATGGTAAAATTATCTACCAGAGGATATGGGGCTAGCTTGCACTATATTATATACTGATTTTGCACTGAAAATTATTTCTAGGGCTTTGATTAGGTGGGCAATTCCAAGTAAATTTTTTTCTAATTTCTATCATTGTTGTTTGGGCCCTGAGCTTTTCTATTAATATGGTTCGTGAAACAGTTCAACATGACGCATATTTCAGAATAATTAAATTTATGGTGATTACAAAGGTAGGCATATATACATCTCAAAAGATATACAATTCAAAGCAGACCATTCAAATCTTAAGATACTCCCACTTAACTTCTGGGCTAAAATTAAGTGATTTCTGGCTTGGACCCTTCCTTCCTTAAAACACAGATGTATGGAGGATTGCTTTCTTTTTCAATCTGATGTGCTCACTGGGGAGAATGGGAAAAGTACATCAAAGTGGTTACAAAGCATTATTCCCTCTTCAAGTAATATCCAATAACAAAGACGTAACTGCATTTCCTCATAAATGTTTGACATAGTAACTTCCATTGAAAAATGTTCAGGACATAAAGTTTGTCACAGAATGGGTGATCCCAATATGAATGACCTTGTAAGTAAGCTATTGGAGGGGTTTTACTCTGCCCTTTCAGCTCTCATCCCTCAATCATTCTGCGTAAGTAGAAACAGAGTACTCAACGAATGACACTGAGTAACTACTAATACTCGATGGAACTTCAAACACTATCTTTTATCCAAAAATTTCAAAGGGCTATACAGAAAACTATCACAAATTTACATAAAAAGAAGCTGAGATAAGAGAAATAACAAATTATTTCCCTATAAAGCAGGTCATATAGTGAGACAAAGGACTTGACTTCTAGTCCCTTAAACTGAGCAGGACACAGTCTGAATGTCTAGCTACATTTATATTGAATTTATAAGGATCAAAAAAGGAATGAAAGGTAATACAAAATAATTTTTGTAAACAATTCTTAGATTATACCCAATGCAGAATGTTTAATGAAGCAGTTGAGTCACAGCTCTTAAGACAGAAACCAGTATTATAACTCAAAGTCAAATACGTACTCATTGGCCAGATATATTCGTCGGAATATAAGAGCTGCCAATGCCAAGGTCAAGATGACAATCAACACGGCAGATCCACCATGATCAGTGTGGTTGTCTCTAGGCTGCTGGCCCTGGATTACGTCCGGTGAAGCAGACGGCCTCCTCTGACTCTGCTGCTGGGCCCTGCGCTGTCGAGGACTCATGGAGGTACTCTTAGCGACAGGTTGGACAGGCTGTTGAAGAGATGCTTCTGAGGGGTTCTGGACTTCATACTAGAAAATTTTAAGAAATTTTGTTTGAAACTGGCAAAGCAAACTTATACATATACCTATTATCTATTCAAAAGTACAACGAACCTCAGAGCACTAAATACAACTGAGGGCAAAACTACCACAAACTACCTCATTGTTCAGACTAAGAATAGCTCACCCTTCTGAGTAAGACAGCAACACAACCTACTCTGAGCACTCACCAGATGGAGGAGGAGTTTACCAGAAATAAGAAAGACAAGGACTTACTCTGTTTTGCCCATATTCTCCATAGAGGGCTTTCTACTCTCCCTCAGCTGCGACTCCAACAAAATCTGCTGGGCCTCTGGGGCCCTCCCTTCTTCAGGAGAGTTGAGAAGCATTAGATTTCTCCTTTCTACTTGAAAATTTGCCATCCTACATGGCAAAAAAGGGCAACTCTCAACAGTGTGCCTCTCATGAACATTTCTTATTACGTCAACATGCTTTTGCCAGCGATCAAAGGCAGAAGAAATAACTTCATACGTTCTGCCCAGCAACACTGTTGTAAAAATTTGATGATTAGATGGTGGTTTTCAAACTAGACTTATCCTTCCTCACAATTCTCATCAACTGCACTGAACGCAAGTCTAGACGAACCCTTCAGTACGTGTTTGAACTGTTACTTTATGTGATGTCGAGAGCTCCTTGGGCGTGTCCTGAGAAAAATGTGGAGGTGGCTGCGGGAGACCCGAGGTGCCCCCACAAAGCACTGGATGTCAACTGCTCTCTGCCCTTCAGTGATGCTCCTTCAAAGCACAACCACAATGTGGTGACAAGTGAGTCAAAATCTTAATTACTGTTTAGAGACAACAATGCTCTCTACTAGGAATTCTACTTTATTTATATAGATACCTTAACTCTACCTGTAATAACCCAGTGGCCTTTAATTCTTTTATTGAAAATAAGTTTATACTGATTGTATTAATGCAATACACATTCTTTCAAGTAAAAAAAGAATGTACGTTTTATTCAGAATAACTTTACTGAGCAAATATAAAACATTTTAAATACATTCCATTAGAGAGAAAAATGTAGTATTTGGAAGAAAAAAAGAATTCAATAATATAATTCAAATAGTTTTTTAGAAAGATAATAGGATGGGCTTTGGGCTGCCAACAGCTATAACCATCAGGAAAAAACTGCTCATCTCATTTACCTGCAGAAGAAATAACATTTCAAATCTGACATTCATCTCAGCATTAAAAAGCTTAAATAATCCATACTTCTTAAAACTATGCTTTGGGAGCACTCAACTGTAGTGACCAATAACACAGCAGAAGAAATAAACTGCTGACTTTGAGTTAAAAATATGTTAGTGCTGGTACTGAATTAGAGTTGCATGAACTTAGACTTCCATACTCCAGGACTCCCAGGAGCAAGCTGCTTGCCAAAGAGAGCGCATGCACAAAGCTGCAGTGTTTTATGAAGTGTTACACTGACACAGGCGTCATATAGTGACTTAATAAACACTCACCGAGTTGAACTGAGTTACAGCAGCCAATAAAACATTCACTTTGAACTATCCCATTCTTTCAATTGCTCAACCAAGCTAAAACTATCTGAGAGAGCAAAAGTACTCAAGGCTGATAAAGGGAGATGGGTTCTTAAGGAAAATTTTTAAAAATATGAGGTCCTATCAATCCAGAAATCAGCACAAGAGACTGATTCAGAGTAAAGCTTGTGTTTTGTACATGCTATTTTTCCCACTAGTTTGAGGGGAGAACATTACCCCACCCGCACACCTGACTAAAACAGGGAGTCTTATCATTACTAGGCTGCCTTTGCCGCTTCATACATGTGACCCGAAAAATTCATTCAACCTCGGGCTCAGCTTCCACATTTGTACAATGAGGCTAATATCTAGTTCAGTATTGTGAGATTAAACAGGATGATATAAAGTGCTTAGGATACACAATTGCTTATTAAATGCTAGTTATTATTAATATTATTACTTTAACCATAACTAAGTTACAAAAAAAAGTCATGAGTTTACTAAGACAGCTTTTTGGACCTTTATTAGTGTGATTAATTATAGTTAGAACAACAATCCCTTAAAACATAGAGATTAAAACAATCCCTAAAAATCATTGAGATAAATGGATTGAGCACCGGCCTGTGAGCCAAAGGGTCACGGTTTGATTCCCAGTCAGGGCACATGCCTGGGTTGCAGGCCAGGTCCCCAGTGCGGGGCCTTCGAGAGGCAGCCACGCACTGATGTTTCTCTCCCTCTCTCCTTCCCTTACCCTCTAAAAATAAATAAATAAATAATCTTTTAAAAAAATCATTGAGATGATATTTTAGTATAATACATGTACTTAATGAAAATATTTATATAGAGATATTGCTTTAATTAGTTTCCATATTTCTGGTGTCTTTTGGATAATATATTACTGACTAAAACCAAGTGCTTGCAGTATCATAAAATTCTAAAATTTCTCCTATTTAAAATAATCACATCAAAGGAAAACTCTAACAACCCAAGTTTATGCAATGATCCTGAGAAACTTAGTTTATTTGGAGTTGAAGGACTAATTGGACATTTTTATAGTTCATATTGAACTGCCAAATGGAGAATCAAGTTGGTTTTAGCATTTTCGAAATGCTTTAAGCTTGCTGGTAGGCCCTGACTGGTGTAATTCAGTGCTTTGGGCATCGTTATGCAAACCAAAAGGTCACCAGTTTGATTCCTGGTCAGGGCACATGCCTGGTTTGTGGGCCAGGTCCTTGGAGGCACATAAGAGGCAGCTGATTGATGCTTCTCTCTCTCTCTCTTTCTCCCTCCCTTTACCTCTGTCTAAAAATAAATAAATAAAATATTTTAAAAAAAATATTAGTGGTAGGACTTCTAAATCTTTGTTGTTTTCCTACACTTGTCTAAAGGCATGTCACAGAGAAAAGACTTAAGTCGTTAATAGTTTCCATTTCCTTAACTAAGGTAAAACATTTCTTGGAAGGAGGACAAATGTGACATATTATTTAATTAAATTTAACTATTTTTTAAAATCACAGTCATAGATAAATTACACATAAATTTTTCTATAATAATCTGAAATAATCATCATCTGTGAGGGAGTTTTGTATTTACTTTTTAATACAAAATGGAACGGCTTATGCACAACATCCCTAGGAAAAGGAAAAAAAAGTCTGACAGGCTGGAGAACATAAACCTAGTCAGTATTTTTCCCATTTCTACATAGACTGAAAATCTGCATCACAAGCAACAGATGGCCTAATGCTGTTATCTGCTGTATTTAGACTTTTGGCAATCTCTCGCCCCTCCGTGCTAAAATGGCAGCTTATCTGGGACTCGATGCCTGACATCTCCGTGATCTTCCACTGCACCGGCATGCAAAGCAGCCGCCTTCTCCAAAACCAGGTCTCAGTGACCTCCACAGTGATCAGATTACAGACTTACACTGAGGTTGCATGTAAATGTAATTAAAAGCTTAACTCATAATTGTAGACAACTTATTGTTTGCCAGTGTTTTAACCAGAATTGGCACAATATCTATGAAATAAGTCTAACTTTTATGTATTTTAAAAGTCAAAATGAAAAATCCTACTATAATAGCAACACTATTGCCTATGCTATCTAATTTACCTAAAATATCTTGATTTCTTTACCTGTACTACTTTTTTTTTTATAAAAGTGCTAATCCTAAGATTCATTCATTCAATCAACAAATACATACTGACCACCTACTACATACAAGACACTACACCAGGCACTGGGGACACAACCCTGATCCTAAAGGAACTTACATTCTGGGAAGTGAGACAGACAATAATTAATTATAAAATAAACTGCATTTGGAGTAAGTGTAACTGGAATATGCAACAGGGAAACTTGACACAGACTTGACACTGAAAATAAACTAAAGACAGATCTAAACACATCACAAATATTAGGAGACTGTCCTTATAGGAGAAAAAGAAATGACCACTTTCCTCTGTAATAGGACGTTTTTATTTCTAAAAAAACTATTTATAAAATAAAAAGCAATTCAAATTTTAAAGGTGAAAACTTAAAACATACCCTGACTAAAATGAATTCATTATGTTCCTCTGCAATGCATAAATTTACACGTAGATCATGTAAAAGCAATTTAACACTCAGCATACACTCCCTTCTTGTACCGCCACCTGCAGTCCTCAAGTACTTCCTTCGGAGCACCCCTCGCCTGCCCTCTCCGATCCACTTCTCAGCCATCCTCACTCTCTGAATGTCAGAGAGCCACTCAACCCCATTTAGCCCCATTTCACAGTAAGTTATTCCTGAGTAAAGGGTAAGCCTGTATTTGCCCAGCTTCCATTCCGATTTTCCTGACCCTTTAAAACCTCTGTAAATTGGGGTGAGGGGGAGAATTTGGTTAGTCTGCCAAACAACCTGTTACCAAAAAAAAAAAACCCCAAAAAACAGTTCATCTCTCATATAAAGTCAGTGTTTTCCCCCATAATCTTAATTATTTAGCAGTAATTCAGTCACATTTTCTTATCAGTCTCTCTCATGGCCTGGCCACCTCCCCCCAGTAATTAGACAATAGATGGATCAGGGCACAGTGAGCAACAGCCGCAGCATTCATTCAACCTCTCATTCAATAACTGCTCATTGGACACTTAAGCATGCACAAGGCAGCACTGTCCAGCAGAACTCTGTGCGATTACGGTAATGTTCGTGATCTGTGCTGTTCAATGTCGTAGCTGTTAGCCACACGTGGCTATGAATTACCCCAAATGAGGCCAGTGTGACTGAGAAACTGAATTTTTAATTGAATTCAGAATAATTTAAATATAAATTCAGACAGTCACATTGGCTAGTAGCTACTATACTGGACAGAGCAGGTCTAAGGCAAATCTTTTTCTCCAGTCCTCTATTAAGTCTCATGCAGCTTAACAGACCTGCCAAAGACAGACTGTCTTTTTAGAAAGTGGTTAATGTATGTATATTTTATTCTAACTGTAGCACTATATTGAGGCTAACTTTTCTCAGAAATACACAGAAAATTCCAAAGGGACGAAAGGAGCTAAAAATTATTTAGTCTAGCCCCATTTAACAATAAAAAAAAAAACCAGAAAGTATGAATAACTTTCTCAAGAAAATATAGTAATTCATGAGAGGGAGAGTTGGGCTAAACTCCAACTGGTAGGAAAACCAGATATTTCCTCTAGGGATCTCCTCCTACTATGGCAAATAATGGTAATGACATAGATACTCGTCCACGTGAAAGACAAGAACCATACCGATGTACTGGCTGCAGCACCCTGGAATGTTGTAGGTACACTGTCTTGTAAATCATTTAGTGAAAAAGGGTGGTTTAAATCTGACTCAGCAATAGTCTTTCCAGATGAATTGACTTCTGCCTATAAAAAAGATAAGACCCAAGAGCAGTGTCACAAGAAGAAACATACAGAATAACCCCAAACCTACTACATTCCCTTTCTTAGATTTACTGTAATTGCTGCTTTAACATGAACATCAATCAGTTACATGTTGAGCGCTCACGTGTCCAACACTGTGTGAGGTATTACAGGAAGGTACACGGACAACCCGTTCTCAAGGAGACGTTACTCAGCTAGGGACAAAACTAACACCCATGGCTCACAATCTACAATTTCAAAAATCTCTGAAATCTAAAGTTTTTGTAATTTTCAGGCAAAGTCTGACATGTGAGGCTATTAACAGTCTTTATTCTACATTAGTGCAGATATCCCCAAGTTTGCTGATGAAATATTAGTGAATGGGATTCTGGAGAACTGCCCCAGATCCCATAGTGAGTATTAATACACAGTGTGCATTTGACATTTTCTAAAATCTGAAATTCTGAGTATAAAACATATCAGGCCTTAAGATTTTCAGAAAAGCAATTTTATATATAACAGGAATCTTCAGAAGGAAGAAAATAACCAACATTTATTAAGCACCTCCTCTTTCAAAGGAAAAATTTCTCCCAGGAACTGGACCTTGGAAGGACAGACAGGATAGAGAGAGGCAGAAAAGCAGGAGGAGATACCATGTTGCTTAATATGGGCTCACATTTTTTTATGAACCTAATTAAATTATAGAAGTATTTATACGTTTGGGTAAAATATATGCAAGGAAAAAAGGACTTAAGGGAGATATGCCAAAATAATAACAGTAGTTGTTTCTTGACGCTGGGATTATATGACTGTTATTTTCTTACTGCTTATCTATATTTTCTATAATAATAGCTAAAGCTTATTAAGCACCAGGGACAGTTCTAAATACAATACACGTCAGTATTAACTCTCTTAATCCTCGTAAGAATCCCATAAGTAATGTTATTATTTACAGGTGAGAAAAAGGCACGAGGTGCTTAAGTAATATGTCTGATGTCCTACTTCTAATAAAAAGCAAAGCTGGGATTTGATCCCTGGCATTGTATACCAGAGTCCAAGCTTTAAACCACTATGCCATATAATGCCTTTGTGAATGTATATTATTAGTTTTGTAATTAAAAAACTATTTGTAAAAACCTTATTGCAATAGGACAATATTATTTTACTTTTGAAAGAAAATAAAAGGGCTTCAGCCCTGGCTGTTTTGGCTGAGTGGATTGAGTGCTGCTGGCCTGCGAACCAAAGGGTCGTGGATTCAATTCCCAGTCAGGGCACAAGCCTGGATTGCAGGCCAGGTCCCCAGTAGGGGGTGCATGAAAGGCAAACACACACTGATGTTTCTCACCCTCTCTTTCTCCATCCTTTCTCCCCTCTAAAAATAAATTTAAAAAAAATTAAATCTTTCAATAAATAACTAACTAAATAAATAAATAGGGGCTTCGCAATTTGAATCTATTTATCAGTTTGGACTACCTTAAAACTGATTTGTCTAGCCAATTCCTTGGCTTCTTGGTCGGCCTTGCTTGAATCGCTTCCAGATTTTAAAGGCAACAGGACATCCTTCATGGTGCAGCCACATCCATCACAACAGAAATCTTGGGATCTGGTAGAAAGTAATTTTTTTTAATGAGAACAAATCAAATACATGAATATTAATGCAATACGCTCAAATAATGAATGTTTTAAATTTAAAAAAGAACACTAGATAAGTCCATATCACATTTATCTACATGTAAATTAGGCAATTATAGTTCTGAGACACATATACAAGTTATGTTGGCACAAAAAAATTTATGTCAATTATATCTCAGTATTTTTAAAAATCTAACTTTAGCCCTGGCTGGTGTGGCTCAGCTGGCTTGGCATCTTCCTGCAAAACAAAAGGTCACTTGCCTGGGTCGCAGGCCCAGTCTCCAGTTGGGGACCTGTTTCTCTCTCACACCACTCTTTCTCTCCCTCTCTTTCTCCCTCCCTCCCCTTCTTTCTAAAAATAAATAATTAAAATCTTTCTTAAAAATCTAACACTAAAATTTGATAAATCCTAAAAAAAAACAAACAAACCAAAACCCTGGCTGGTGTGGATCAATAGACTGAGTGCCAGCCTGCAGTCAGGGCACACGCCCGGGGCAGGTCCCCAGCTGGGGGCCTGTAAGAGCCAACCAGTAGATCTCTCTCTTGCACACTGATGTTTCTCTTCCTTTCTCCCTCCCTTTCACTCTCTCCAAAAATAAATAAATAAAATCTTCAAACTAAAAACAAAGCACAGGAGACATTATTTAAAAAAAAAATTTGGTCTAAGACTTCATTATTTTCCCAATATACTATGTAAAGAAAAATCAGCTTTAGATTTACATGACAAAAGATATACCACACTTTGCTGTGTCTAATGTGCTCCCATGTATAATGCACACCCATGTTTTTAGTCCAAACTTTCAGGAAAAAAATCTTTCTTTTTAATTTTTTAATTCAAATTTTTATTTATATTTAGAAATAAAACCAATTATTATATTCTAAGGTATTACTTTGCATACAGATGTCATTACTGCCTTCTAGAGTTATACTTTTTAACACATAGGCATAAATACAATAATTAAAAGCATTTATATAATGCATATCCTTACTTTAACCTCAAAAATTTGGGCAAAAAAGGTGTGCATTATACAAGACAAAATACAGTAAACCGTCTAATTACACTGTCCTTGAGATCACATATAACAAGCCTATGTTAAGTCTGTGAAAAGTACACTAGAAAACTCAATTTTTTTCTAATAAAAAATATGTAAACAGTAAGGAAGTCAACTAAAAATAGAATTTACAGATATTTCCAGGGGGAAAACAAGTCACAAATCCCAACAGCAGTACAAATCTAAATGGCAGTAAAACCTGAAATACAGAAGAACTCATGGAAAAATCCTGATTCTGAAATTTATCACTGATTACATTAAGGAGACACTCAAGGTATCTACTTAATAGATATAACAGGTTAGCAAGATAACCTGTTAACTAGACTCTCCTCAGATTTATTTGTTTTTCTGTGCTTTCATTTTCCCCCTGTGTTCCAGAGACAGCCGACAAGTGTCCCACAGCTCACAGAGCTCGCTGAGGGTCTGTGCGACTGGAAGCAAACACACGATATGTAAAAACATGTACTGTCACACTGCCGAACTTCCTCTTGAAAATTATTTTATTGTGCATCTAGTCCAACATAATAAAAGCCTTAGGTCTTGAAGAACATGCTACTTAAATTTATGAAGTAGCTTCATATAAACAAAATATATGTCAAAGTAGTATTAATTTAGTATTTATTAATTTTTTTGTTTCATCAGAAGCAGCATCATTATTCAAAGCCTTGTGAGAATCAGTTTTACCAAATTATCTGCCTTAAAATGTTAGTCAGATGAAACTTAAAGGAGAATGTTTATTTTGAGTATATTAGTTTATCCACAAAAATAGTAGCTTACCATGGTTAAATGCAAAATGAAGTTTTTATTTTTTTTAAGATTTTATCTATGTGTTTTTAGAAATGTCAATCTGTGGTTGCCCCTCTTATGTCCCCTACTGAGGACCTGGCCTACGATCCTGGCATGTGCCCTGACTGGGAATCGAACCAGCAACCCTTTGGTTTGCAGGCTGGTGATCAAGCTACACCAGCCAGGGCCAAAATCAGGTTTTTAAAAAGCCTCTAATGCAAACTAGAATATACACATTGACAAGTCTAGAATAAAAACCAATTTTTTTCTTTTTACCTTATATACAAAAATAACTGGATAAAATATCAAAACAGAAAGCCAACAGAGAAACGCAAGTAAAACAAATGCCATGTATTCAAAGTACATGTGTTATAATTTGTGAACAGTACTTGTAAGTAAGGTATATCCAAGAACTTGGGAATAGGTTTAAAAAAAAATGACTGAGGAAACCAGAGGGTCTACCAAATATTCCAGACACTAAAATCTCCTTGATTTAACAAACACCTGGGAAGGGCCTATTCGGGACTGTGCCAGAGGAAGAGAAGCTACAGAGGTGGGCAAAAGTAGGCTTAGTTGTTCAGATGGAAAATAATAACATAAGAATAAACTGTTTCCTGTACTCACAGCTGTGAACCTACTTTTGTCCCCCCTGTAATTTAATTCATAGGATATGTGTGAAGAGTGTGGTAGGCAGCAGAATCCAGAACGGGACAGTGATCAAAACTGAGAATTAGTTTCAGCACTACTCCAAGGAGAACACTCTAAATCTAATGACTAACCTGGGTTATAAGGACAGAATGCCCCTGAAAGAAACTGAGAAGGTACTACCACTAGGAAACCACAGCTCAATGAAATCTCCTTCTCTTTATTCCAGATCATTCACTGAGCACTTGCTGTGAGCCAGACACTATAGATACAAAGGTAGATGAGTGGATTCCCTCCCCGACCTCAAGTTTTTAATCTTGTGGAAAGCTACATTAACGATGGCTCTAGTTCTTTTCCACCCGTAATACTGTCCACGTGGAGACAAGTGACCTGTACTATTTTCTAGAAGATACCTCCCACTGTAGTATTTTTTTAAATTGATTTTAGAGAGAGGGGGAGGGGAGGCAGGGAGAGAGACAGAGGGAAACAAACATCAATTTGTCGCTCCACTCTATGCATTCATGGGTTGATTCCTGGATGTATCCTCACCAGGGATCGAACCTACAACGTTGGCCTATCAGGGCAACACTCTAACTAACTGAGCTACCTGGCCAGGGTCCCACTGTAGTTTGATATTATCAATTAATTTCTAAAACCAGATAGCAGGAAATAAATTCTTTGGACTCTGTTCAACCCTGAAGTAAACTGGTACAACTGAATTTCTAAAATAGCAAAACTAAGCAGCCATTTTCCAGAATAATATTTAGGTCTTAAAAGAAGAAAATGCAAAACTTACTTTTTGGCAAGTGCTCTTCGTTCCTCAGGTGTGTAATCTAGAGAACCTATGGCTCCCTCTCCTTTTGTTGGCATAAACCCAATGATGGCTAATAACGCTGTTCTTACTGAAACAGAAAGCAAACATCAATCTGAAGTGCTTTGTAAAGGGAACTGGGCTTACTCTGGGCGGAGAGAAGGAGACTCGGGCTTTCACTGAAGAGGTGCAGGTAGGACAGCTGCAGTGAAATGGGGGCCAAAATCCAGACACGGGAAAGTATCTTTCCTATTCATTCAATAGTATTAAATGATTTATCAAAAACAGTTTCAAGCTCAAGAAGGTATTATACTTTATCATTATGAACTGACTAAAGTTGTGCAAGATATATTCACTTTAAATTAGTACTCACTACTCCATGAAGGCTGCCAAGTTTCAGGATGATGTCCTGAGATGCTCAAACAGATTTTCTTGCCTACTTCAAATCGTCCATTAGCCTTAGGAATAAATAAGGCATTTAAAAGTTATAGATGTGCTTCATGTTTTACATTTATTAGTGTAAACATATTTTATATATAAATAATGTTTAAGATAATTTTAAAAGAATGTAATCTTTAAGGGGATACAGATTTTTGTCCTCTTAATAGAACTGCACAAATATTTGGATTCTGAATGAATAATACAAGCTGTTTTTACAAGTTGAAGCACCTTTTGGAAATTGGATTATATAGTTGAAATCTAAATTATTGGTATATAGAGATGTTCTGACGACCTCCTCTGTGCCTACTATGGTACGAGGCTCTGTGAAGAGTCTAAAAAAAGATTAGGGTAAAACCTAAGGACATCATACCACCTAACTAGATAACGGCGAGGAAGGCTCCGAGGGCAGGAGTGATTTTCAGAAGGATGGTATAATTTTATAAGAAAGGAATACTATGGAGGAAGAGCAGAGATAATGATTTCAGCTTTGGATGCGAATCTATTTTCATAGTAGAAGAGCTATTGATGACGTCCAGCCACAGGAGAAATACAAACATGGTGATACCAGAAGATATACAAATTTTATACCTGACTTCCCAGAGGTAACCACTGGAGCCATTTCACAGAAATAAGAAAAAACATCTGCAATCTAAACTTGCAGAATACCACATTTAGGGGAAGAAGCAAAGAACAGGCACGAAGTCAGAATATGTGCCTGGCATGCACAGAGAGTTTGATTTATTTTCTGCTGTACCTATAGGGTGAATGATGCGTATTTAACAAATATTTGTTGAATAAAGGTCAGAAAAGAGAGGAAAATTTTCAAAAGTGAGGAAGCAAGCCAGAAAGAACAAACAATGAAAACCAGGAGGAAAGGTTGGTTCTCAGCCACTGTGCCAAGTATGACCATTCCGTTGGTTAACTCCTGAAATATTTCTGTACTTGTTGGTGAACGGCTGCTGCTCCAACCACCCTCCCAATCTCCCCACGCATCAGCCCCTCTCCCTCGGCCACTCGCTCTCCCCACGACCTTGCAAAGAAAAGTGGCTCCTGACACAGCAGGGCCTGTCCAGGACCCTGCTCCAGCCCTGCTGCCCACACTAATGATTGTAAATGTCAATTAAGATTTGCTAGGCAGCTTCTGTATGAAAGGAACTTTATAAAGTGTGATTACATCTACCATGCACGACCTTTTGACAGAAGAAAAAAATAAATTTCAAAGAAATTATGTAACCTGCCTGTGGTGTAACAGAAATAGCACTGGTCAGAAGCCAGGTCTACTGGCTCCAAAACTAATGCTTTTCCCATCACACTAAATGTAGGAAAAAGCAGCATTAACTTGGCACTTGTTAATGAACACCTTCTGTCTCACTATTTGCTACCCCGTGAAGTGTCAGATGTTTAATTTAGATGGAACAGGATAAAAACTGAAAAAGGCAGTGGATTTTCAAACTAATCTTCGAGATTAGTGTAGTGAGAATGTGTGGAAACCAGACCATAGCAGGCTACACTAGAGTAAATATGCCTTGAAGCTTTCAAAGATAAAAACAAGACAATAACATCAAGTGGTAAGCAGAGATAAAGAAAGGTTTTCATGTTTGTTTTTGCTTTATTCAAGATTGGGGAGACTTGTAAATAAAAGGAAATGAGGGAAGGAAAGCTTAACAATTAGGAGAGGAATTTATTGCCCTGGCTGGTGTGGCTCAGTGGATTGAGCACTGGCCTGCAAACCAAAGGGTAGCCAGTTTCATTCCCAGTCAGGGCACAAACTTGGCTTGTGGGCCAGGTCCCCAGTTGGGGGTGTACTAGAAGCAACCACACACTGATGTTTCTCTCTCTTTCTCCCTCCCTTCCCCTCTCTCTAAAAATAAATAAATGAAATCTTTAAAATAAAAAAGAGAGGAATTTACTGATGGCAAACATCCCAGGAAAGAGAAGAGAAAACTGGATTAATATTTTTCCTTCACATGAAGATAAAATATGTGAATGTAGATAGAAATCCTAAGGTATAAATAGTAATAATATAGCAAACATTTATTGAGGACTCTGCGTCACTTCTTCTAAGAGCTACACATAAAAATGAGGAAACTAAGGAACAGAGTGTAAGAAAAGTGAGAGGTTAAAGAAGATGATGTGATTACAAGGTTCAATATCTTTAACCACCCTTTCTTTACTGAGCACCCCCAATGTGCCAGGCATTGCCTAGCCCTTTGCACACATTGATTCATTGGATTCTAATAACCATACTATACTAATTATACATTAATTAGCATCAATAATTCCTATAAATTTTTTGGTGGGGAAAAAATTTATAGTACCAAGGCCTGACTCTCAAAAGCAAAATAATAATAATGTGCCACTTTATTTCTTATGTAAGTGAGTACATTGACCGTGTTTTGAAGCCACCGTGAAGACTCCCACCAAAAAGCCAGGAACCCTTACCGTCAGAAGAATAATGCTCGGTGGTTTCATGGGGTACTCTGGTGGGAGTACTATTCGTCCATGATAAACTCCTCCATCAAAATCAGAATCTGGCGGCCCTCTCACTGTGAAGTGCCATTCAAATAGGTTATCCTGAACAAAAACCAATGACCGACAAGGAAACAGTAACATTAAAAGTTGGATTGGTTTTATGAATGACTATTAGAAACATAATTGGGTAAGAAAAGGTGCTTTATACTATTGTTAGAACAGTTTCTAATGCACAAAATGTCTCAAGTATAAAAACTATAAATAAAAGCTCTTCAATCTAGCTTTCATGTCCAATAAGCACTAGATCTTTTCTAAAAAATGCACTTAAAAATGTCTGAACCTTGTTATATATTCAGAAATAAGATTAAAAATTTCATTAAGCTAAAAATTAGTCCTTCAATTCTAATTAGTAATAATTATTATACAGTTAATCCTTGAATAATGTGGGTTTGAATTGCACGGGTCCACTTATATTTGAATAATTTCCAATAAATATATATATTACCATAAATATATTTTCCTTATGATTTCCTTCATACCATTTCTTTTATCTAGCTTATTTTATTGTAAGAATATAGTACCTAACACACAGAACATGAAAAATATGTGTTAATTGACTGTCTATACTATCAGTAAGGCTTCCAGTCAACAGTAGGCTACATTAGTAAAGTTTGGGGGGAGCCAAGTTATACATGAATTTTCAACTGTGTAGGATTTGGGGACCCAACCCCTGTATTGTTCAAGGGCCAACTGTATAATCAAATAATTAATTGAAATGTGGATTATTTTAACAGCCTTTAAAAATTCTCCCTCACAGACACCTATGACCTTATTTGTGAGTGGCCAGTGATATTAATACATATGCTAGGAACATCCTCTTACAGTTACAGTTTGCAAAATACTTGTGCATACATTATCACATTTTATTTGGAAACCAGACTGAGCACTTGTAAATACCCTCCTTTCACAGGGGAGAAGACTGAAGAGAGAGAAAGCCCAGGCTACTGCAGAGATCCCTCAAGGAGCTGGGTCTTCCAGACAGAATAGAAGTACCGGGTTCTCTCCACTTCCCTCTCTGCTTCATTTTCAAGACCTAAAACCAATGTAGCCTGAGACCCATTTTATAGAGACCAGAAATCAGCTTCTTCTAAAATGTCTGATTCTGAATGGCTAATGAAATCCTCAGGAAATACTGGGAGTAAAATGTATTAATAAACACATCAAACACATCTGCAGTGACTCAAAGCAATGAAAAAACAATTTTAAGGAATTTGTGTAAAACATGAAAATCCATATGTAGAAGATGGACACACAAACTAACCTCTAAAGGCTGCGCATGGTAATGATCTGTTGGATCTTTCAGTTCTGCTGCTTCTTTCATTAAACGTTTAACAGCTAAAATAAAATTCATAAGATAGAGACATTTAAAATATACTTTACCAAGTCACTAGCACAAATTTACAAAGCTAATGAAAAAGTTTCTACTTTAACAAAACATGTATAGAGTATAGAGTACTGATTCAACTGAGTGAAGGTTTAATTATGGAATAATAGTAATTGGAGGGGGAGAGGAAATGGTAGCTAGAAATGAGAAGAGTTATATATTAAATTAAAATATAGGTAAGTCTTATAAAGATGCCATTTTTAAAAGATTTATTTATTCATTTATTTTTAGAGAAAGGGGAAGGGAGGGAGAAATAGAGGGAGAAAATCATCAATGTGTGGTTGCCTCTTGCACACCTCCTACTGGGGACCTGGCCCAAAGCCCAGGCAGGTGCCCTGACTAGGAATTGAACCAGCAACCCTTTGGTTCGCAGCCAGCACTCAATCCACTGAGCTACACCAGCCAGGGCATAAAGACACTATTTCTATTTAATAAGTTCTTATATATACTTCCTACGTGGTAGCACTCAAACATCAACTCATACAATCCTCAAAACAAAGCTATGAGATTTTAAAAATCCCTATTTTCCAGACAAAAAAAAATTTGTCCAAGGTCTCACACAAATAAATTATAGAGTTGAAATTCTAACACAGACAATACAACTCTATCATGTCAAAACGTCTATATTAACAAAAATGTGCCCTTTGGAACTCACACTAATAAACTGTAAATCCCCCTATATTTTCAACCTCTTGGGACTTCCCACTCAGTATCTTGCATTAACTTAGTGGGACTGTCTCAGGAAGTCGTGCAACTCCATAACCCTAATTAATTTCCTTTTTTAAAACAGAAATTTTTCAAGATTTGATTTATTTATTTTCAAAGAGAGGGGAAGGGAGAAAGAAAGAGAGCAACATTGATGTGTGAGAGACACATGATTGGTTGCCTCTCGCACACCCCCCGCTGGGGACCCAGCCTGCAACCCAGGCATGTGCCCTGACTGGGAATCCAACCTGAGACCTTTCTGTTCGCAGGCTGGCACTCAATCCACTGAGCCACACCAGCCAGGGCTGATTTCCTTTTTGAAATGATTCTTCAGCTTAATTAAAACCTTTGATCCACTGACCCTACAACTTCCTCAACCCCACCTGTCCTTATACTCACTTCCCTCTTTATCTACACTCTTGGCCTTAGGGTCTCCTCTTCCAAACTCCCCTAATAAAATTCAATTCCAGCTGACCCAACCCAACCATCTTTTTTCTTGGTGTCTATACCCAAACAGCTGAGCACGACTGAAGGGGGTAAGAGTCACACAGGCAGGCACACTGATGCCATTACAGAGTTATTAGCAACACCCTCCACTGGAACACAATGCCACCCTAAGTTCCTCTATTTCCCTAGTAAGCCCACTGGCCCACTCTTGCCAACTAGCACCCTAAGGCTGTTTCACACCTGTTTACTTATTTATCTCTCTTCTCTCTTACCTTTCAGTTAATGGCACAGCTTTTTACCTCCATGATAAATCACTGTATCTATGCCCTCTTTTCATCCCTACTGGCTCTCAAATGCCAATCCTTTGATTGCAGCCCCTCCCACCTGAAGCTTCAGGTGCTAAAAAATGTCAGGATACTGGTGTAGGACAGCAAACCCATAAAAAAGACAGGTACCCGAGGCTCCGGGAAACTCTGCTTGAAAACCAACTGATGTTGGTGCTCCAGGGGGAGGCATGCACCAGGGGGGCACCTGAGTTCACAACAGACATTAGAGAAAGGAGGTCAGGTACCGACGTCGGAAAGAAAGACAACAGGAATTAAGCAGGTGGGTATGAACAGGCAGAGGAAACAAGAAAAGTAAAATGTGCGGAAGCATAGGCAGGAAGTTATCAGGGGAGGTTAACTAAGAAGCAACTCCCACACTATATCACAATTCGGCATGTATCAATCAGGACTCTTGCACAAAATTCCATTTTAATCAAGGGTTCCTAAGGCAAAAAAAAAAAAGAAGTTCTTAAGTCATTATCCCATTCCATAATTAATATTCTTTTCCACCTCCTGCTCTAAACTAGGCCCCTGTAGGCAGAGACTTTTGTTCACTTGATCATCAAATACTTATTACTGAGCTTACACTAGATGCTATATCTACAACCAAAATAAAAGTTTCTGTTATCAAGCTTATAAACTTGAGGAGGAGGAGGGCGTGAACACAAAAGAGCATGATAAATGCTGTATTAGAAACATGTGTTATATAGACTATATATGTTCTATAGTATAGAATATCCTTCCAGCAAGTTCTAGACCCTCCACTTCTCTCTGTGCCAGACCTTTACTCCTACTGGTTCCTCAGCGCGCAGTGCCGTTCCCACCCCTCCCCCACCGCATCATCTAGACTGGCTCCCAGCAAATCCTCAAGTAACTTCCTCAGGAAAGTGTCCCCGACACCTTTCCTTGTCCATCCTCAGAGGAGTGACTGAAGAGTCCCATCTGGACAGATACAAACCCCGAGGAGCTCTGGGAGGGGAGTGGAGACCAGGAATGCTCTCCCAGTCGCTCTAATGCTCAGCCAGGTTTGGAAGCCACTGCCCTGGACACTAGGTTAGGTGTCCTTACTATAAGCCCCCATAACGCTGTGTCTATCTTATATAAAAAGTTCATTCCTCTTCTAATTACTTAACACCTGCTAAACAACCTACTTCACTGCAGTCTCTTCAAGGCTTAGCACACAGTCAGCACTCAACTATTAATTGTATTAACTTCTATTATCTCCCCCCAACAAATCTCTCCAAGGATCTCATTAAAGGCAATGTTTTTCAAACTTATTTGACAATAAGATAAAATCCATGATTCAAAGAAAAGCTTAATGAGAACCTCAGTATGTAGAACAGGTAACAGAAAGCTGTTTTGGCTGAAGCCAGGACAAGGAAGGGCCTTCAAGCTATTTACATTCTCTCCGCCTGTTCTATCGAAGGGGCCCACAGAACAAAGATTGAAAACCCCTAGTTTGGAGCCTATAAAAACATTGTTGTTTTAAATCAATAATATTAGATATAGATATAACCCTGGCTAGTGTGGCTCAGTGGATTGAGCGCCAGCCTGAGAACTGAAAGGTCAAGGGTTCAATTCCCCGTCAGGGCACATGCCGGGGTTGTGGGCCAGGTCCCCAGTCGGAGCATGTGAGAGGCAGCCAACTGGACATCGATGTTTCTCTCCCTCTCTTTCTCCCTCCCTTGCCCTCCAAAAATACATTTAAAAATATTTTTAAAAAATAACATTATATATAAGTAAAATTATGGACACTATTATGAAGTTAATAAGTGTGGCAGCTGTCAACAATCAGAGATGCCAAGGGGATTGTTTTTCCTGCATTCTTCATCAGCTAGCTGAATAATGCTCACACTGAAGAGGTCAGATTTTATGTCGCTCCAAATTCTTATCACATTTTCTCTGCCTCTTCTTCACTTAGCTCAGTTCAGTTGGAGAGAAGAAAGTAAACACCCAATAGTGCCTGGACATTATGAAAGATATATGAAAAGATAAGAAATGCTACAAGAATGCATTTAAAGGAAGAATCCTTCATTTAAAAATTTAAACATGGTCCTGGCTGGTGTAGCTCAGTGAATTGAGTGTGGGCCTACAAATCAAAGGATCGAAGTTCAATTCCCAGTCAGGGCACATGCCTGGGTTGCAGGCCAGTTCCCAGTAAGAGGACACATGAGAGGCAACCATACATTGGTATTTCTCTCCCTCTCTCCTTCTCTTCCCCACTAAAGATAAATAAATAAAATCTTTTAAAAAATTTTTAAATGTTGATTTTATTAGCTCATAGGCCACACAGGCATGTACCATGTGAGAGCTAAAGTCACATAGCCAAATAGAAGGTAAGACCAGTCTAGTGTCTACATAACTTGCTTTCTGTGAAATAACATATAGTATGAATGCCTTAGTGAAAAAGAACGTGTATACTCTGGAACTAGAGCTGCATTAAAATACTGGCTCTGGTTTCTTAGGCCTGAATTCTTGAACAAGACATTTAATCTTATTGTGCCTCAATGTTTACATCTGTCCAATGAGAGTCAATAATTTTTTCACATAATTCTCCTTTCCTTTTCACCCCTCCCTCTTCCCCAGACCACAAGTTATTCAGGTCAGAAATGAACTGGGATACAAGGCCTTCTCAGTAATTATTTCAAAATCATGCCTTGGGCACATGTAGTTGGCCACATGGCGTGGCTCCCTTGGGTCCCTGGCTCCCAAGGAAAAATATTGATGCCATGGAATAGTCAAGATTCAAAGTCCTTACTGGCAACTAGGGCTAATGCGCAGTCTGCCACTCTTGATACTCTGCCTCTTGCTACCACATGACTAGAGAGAAAACTTCCCCCATCAGCTCCTCTCTTATCTCTTTGCAAGGTTATTCACTGGAATTCTCCGTCACGGTGAGATAAGATGTTCCTGGGCAGGGAAAATCGGTGGAGAACACCTATGTGCCTGTTCTGGTATTCGTTTTCACGGTGGACACATGATCACTCTAGATCCGAGCTCTAGGCTCCGCCGGCCTAGGCACTAGTGTTCTGCACATATCCAGGCTAGGTTACTGGGTTAATTTTTGGGTTTGGAGACAAAGCTACAGCTGATAGGATATTATTTATTTATTTTCTTTTATTAATTCTAGAGAGAGGGGAAGGAAGAAAGAGAGGGAGAGAATCATTGCCGTAAGAGAGACAACACTGAGCAGTTGCCTCTCGCACGCCCCCAACTGGGGATGCAACCCAGGCATGTGCCCTGATTAGGAATAGAACCAGTGACCTTTTGTTTGTGAGACAATGCCTAACCAACTAAGCCACACCAGCCAAGGAATGAGGGATCCTTTGCAGGTCACTCTCATGCATCTATTTCTTTCAGAAAGCAGCTATGTTGATACCATCAATCTCCAAAGCATGGGTAAAACACAAAAGAGGCAGGTGTACTGAGGATGTGAACACAAAGTCACGCTCCCCAACTGCCTCTTCCTGTTCCCACATGAAGGCAAGTGTTTAAGGACTAATGTTTCTGCCCAGAAATACTTGCAAAGGTATCCATTCAATAAACAATTAAAGAATAAATGTCTGACCCTGGCTGGTGTGGCTCAGTGGATTGAGCATCAGCCTATGAACCCAAAGGTCCCAGGTTTGATTCCTAGTCAGGGCGTATGCCTGGGTTGCGGGCCAGGTCCCCCGCTGGGGGTGTGTGAGAGGCAACAGATCAGTGTATCTGTCACACATCCGATGTTTCTCTCACTCTCTTCCTCCTTCCCTTCCCCTCTCTCTACAAGTAATTAAATAAAATCTTTTTTTAAAAAAAGAAAGAATGAACATCTGAGCAATGGATATAGAATGACCCAAACCGGCTTCTTGCCTTCTAAAAGCTCACAGCAAGACATGAAAACAATCACTACACAAACAATGACCAAGAGTAAACAAATATAGAGACTACCTTAGTCTGCCTACAGGAGTTGGACAACACTGAACCTCAAAGAAGCCTGAAGAATTAATAGGAATTTCAAATGAATTAAAGGGAAGACATTCCAAGCAGCGGCTCCAACAAGGACAAAGGGTGAGAAGAGCTGTTCCATCTGGGGACACTCAGGCAAAATAGATGGACAGTGAAAATTCGACAGAGCACAGGAGTGCTACAAGATAAGGCTGGTGAGAAAAGCAAAGATCAAATCAGCAGCAGCCCCATAGGCCAAGCAAAACAATTGACTTTGAACTTTATCCACAGCTATCAGAAAGCTATTGAAAATTTCTCAATTTGGAAACTGATCTAATCATGTTTTACAGTATTTTGCCATAAATAACATGTACTCTTTTGCCCAAATTTTTGAGGGAAAATAAGAACATGTATTATATGTGGTCAGTACTAATTCTATATCTATATAAATGTTTTTAATTCTTTTAAAAATTTCCTATACTTTGTATCTGTTCTTGTGTTTTGTAATTATTTGTTACATAAAATTTCTTGTACGATATGTTCAAAAAGAAATGCTAAATTCCTTTATAATACAAAAATCAAGTATCTAAATATAAATAAATAAATAAATAATTGAATTTAAAAATTAAAATGAAAGTTTTTTTCTGAAAGTGTGGGCCAAAAGCTGTGGGTGTTCATTATACATGGGAATGCATTATACATGGTACAATACAGTATTTCATTTTGTTTTAATTTATCTGGTGGCACAGTGTCTGGTGAGATATGTCTGCCTGGTCTATCGGCACCCATGCTCAAATGCATGTGCATGTGTGAGATAATTTTAGGGTGAAGGATGGAGTAAAGGAGTAGATCATGAGATCAAAGACGACTCCCATGGGTGCTTGGGTGCTGTCAACCCCTAGCAAAAACTATTAAGGAGAGATGCAAGTTTGTGGGGGGAGAGAACACTAATAATGTTGGTATTTACATCTTGTAGATATTTTTTCGGTTTATGGGAAATCTGAGTGAAGTTATTAAATCACCATTAAGTTCTGTGTATCTACAGTCTAGGAGAAGGATCTGCATTATACATTAAAGCTTGAGAATGATTAGTATGAAGGTAAAGTTGACATCAAGGGCAAGTGGACAGGATAGATAACTCGGAGGTTTTGGATGGAGAAGGTGGGTACCTTTGTACCAATCTCTGATATATATGCCAATCACCTGCCGAACATGCCTATCAGCCCCTTCTGAGGGAAGCTGCCACAGGAGGTTCTTTATACTCAATACAAAGTAAGGAGGTCTCCTTACTTTGTACTGAGACCCTACTACCTTAGGCAGAGCAGACCCAAAAAAGAATCAGGGAACATGACCCAGAGGCAACTATTGATAGGCTAGTCACAGAGCTTATGAGGTGGTCCCACATAGAGCTGTGCCCACAACCACAAGTCCATTGCAGAAAAATCATAAAGAAATATGTTCTCCCACCTACAAAATGAACAAACATGCTATCTACATGCTAGCACACTGGCCCTTAACCTGTACTGTCTTAACTTAATTGTCCCATTTATACTTCTAAATGAAATAGAGAGAAAAAGGATTATATCTCTTACATCATGCAGTGTTTTTAACAACTTCCTCTCATATACAGTACTCTAAAAATATCATAGGACTGAGAATAAAACAAAGGAAGGAAGTACTTTCAACTATACCTCCTAGCAGTTTCAGCCAGTCCCATACCTCATTTAATTCACCTTCTCCATGAACCTCAAAGGAAAAAAAAAATTTTTAAGTCCGTTTGGGCCCTGGTTGGAGCAGCTGAGTGGTTTGAGCGCTGGGACTGCAAAGCAAAGGGTCATCAGTTTGATTCCCAGTCAGGACACATGCCTAGGTTGCAGATCAGGTCCCTAGTGGGGCCAGGTGAGAGGCAACCACACAGTGATGTTTCTCTCCCTCTCTCCCTCCCTTCCCCTCTCTCTAAAAATAAATAAATAAAGTCTTTTAAAATAAGACATTCGATTTAGAACAGTAACATCACCGTTGAGGAAATGCAACCAAAAAGAGGAAGCAATTTATTACACAGCTAGAAACATGTTGGCCAAAGCTCAGAGTGCTGGCAAAAGGTCATACATATGTTACTTCAAAAATACACAAATTTCTGGAGAATGTTAAATGCTTGTATGTTAATCTTAGGTATGATAATCTATAAAATTGAGTGATCTCTTCTGATAACAACCTCCATTCCAAATCATACTCATATTTTCACTATTTCTGGGCATTTCACTAAGTACCTCAGGTGTCCTACAGAACTTGGTAACATGTGAACAAGGAGTCACCCACCATACATTTTTACCCCAGTTTTATATAAATCTACTACAATCTGAAAAATTTAAGCATCTAAACTTAAGCTTTCCTTTCCCTCTTTCTCTTTGATCTGCCCCCTGCCCTGCCTCCCCCCCCACCCCCGGCTCCGCCCTGACATTCTTAAGAGATGGGTTGGAGGAGGGAAATCATGACCCCACCGAAACTGAATTGTATAAATTATTTCTTGGAGAGCTCACAGCCTTCACTAGATTTTTAAAGGAATCTATGCCCCGCCCCCAAATGGTATGACTCTTCTACATACTTGGTCACCTAAGAACATTTCTTAGCCTGACAACACTGAAGTTAACAGAGCTCTGTTTAATCAATATCCTCGGACTTTTCTGGACCCTTTGCATAATCTTAAGTAGAATGGTTGCAGGTCAGTTCCTGGCCTGGGCACATGCCTACGCTGAGGGTTCAATCCCAGCCTAGGTGGATACAGGAGGCAACAGATCAAATCAAAGATTCACAGTGTCAACTGTTTCCATAAGAATGTTAACACTGCTGACTGCTACTGAGAAGCTGCTTCTTTGGAAGAAGAAATAAAATAAGAAGCAGTAAGTGCTGGTCAAACTGATATGTTAGGACTATCATTTAGAGCTGAACTGTGGAGTTTCTCCCTCCTGACAAATTTACAGTACAGATAGAATAAATATCATTTATAATGATTCATTTCAAGCTTGCCTTAATCTAAGAGAGCTGAGTGCTTTCCTTACATCTTCATAATGCACCGGAGAAGACTTTGAGACTGGGATTGTTTGGGCTACTTCTATAAATTAGGCAGGGCCATTAAAAACTGGAAAAGAAGTCTATGAATAGATACGAATCATGGTAGTATGGCAAAAAAAAAATCATGGTTAGCACTAAAGTACACGGCTCAAAACTAGTTTTCTTAATTAGCTCTTTGACTAACCAGTTAAGTACTGAACATTTCCTTTGTAATTCTATTAGGCCCATATGCTGCAAATAGTATATTTAAACTAAATCCTCACATGCGAGTGAGTCAAACAGTTAAAAGTCCGGCGGCAGCGATGGAGAAGAGGACTGTTCGGGAAGCAGTCCAGCAAGGGGCTGTTACTGTTAGACTCGGGCATCATCTTTACACCTGTTCTTAGGGATGAGTTCATAACCCAGCTCCTCCAGACGCAGAAGAGGGGAGGGCGAGCCCGGGTGCCGCGGGGCGCTGGCAGTCCCCACCTCCGGCAGCCGGTGCGCACCCGGCCGTCCTGCCGTACGGCCTGCACCACTCTGGCGGCCGGCGGTCTCGCGTACGGCTCCGCGTCCGGACGGCGCCGCGAGTGGCGGAGGACGCGAGGGGACTGCAGTGCCAGCCCGGCAGTCCTGGTTCACTCTGGTCCATCCTGCCAGCGCTGCCCACCGACCCCAGCCCTGCTCACCCGGACTCTTCAGGTTGTAGCGGGTCTCCATGGCTGGTCGCTGGCCGGGCTCCGGCCTCCACTCCGCGCCGCGGGCGCCCGGGTCTCAGCGCGGCTCGGGCCGACCGGGCCAGACCCAGGGAGCTTCCGCAGACACCGCCCCGCCACGGGCAGAAGTGCGGGCGGGATGCCGAGAGCGGGCGAGACGCTGGCTCCGCGATGGCACCGCCTCCTCCGCTGTCCCCGCCTCCCTGTGGGCCGGGCGGGCGCCGGCGCCGGCCGGGGCGTCGCTGTGGCAGGCGCCCTGGCTGGAGGTCAGCCTCCCCGATTGGCCGCGGGCCCAACCCCGCCGGGCCGCCCGGCCTGCGTCACCCGCCCGCGGCCGCGTTTTGTGAAGTTACCCTGACGTGGCAGTCGCTTCGTGGGCCGTCAGCTACTCTGCTGCTGCCGCCTGCCCCACGAAACCTTCTCCGGTGTGTGCAGGGGTGGGTGGCGCCCTAGTCTTCCTGTTGCCCCGGCTCCCCGGAGGCCTGTCTTCCGCGGGGCCCTTCCCGGGACTCCTGGCGCTAGCGGCTGCTTGCGGGAGACCGTGCTGCCAGAGTGGGGCCGGCCCTACCGGCTGCGGCTGGGGTCCCGGCCCGACCTCCAGAGATCAGAGGGGGACCCTAGGCTCCCGCTGCAGAGTGCCGGCAGCTCGATACCTGAAAGTGCTTTGTTTTTAGACCCAGTGTTGCTGGTTGTGGGTGGAAACAGTTAAGAAGGGAATTCCAGAGATAAGGGAATTGGGAAGGATTTTTAACAGTTTATTTTCAGATAATGTGCTTAGGTGCCAGGCACTTTTAAGTATTGGGGATTAAAAAGAGATTACATTGAATTTGTGGGGATGCATACAAATATGAAAGGCTTAACCTCAAAGGACACACCTCATGGCTCATTGTGAAAAGAATGGGATGGAGCAAAAGGACTGGGTTCTGACGGCTTAAAAGAGGAGCAAAGATTTAGGACAAGAGGGAGGGAGGGAGGGACTGGGATGGTGGGGAGGATGAAGCGGGAAGGAAAGAATTCTGTGTGGGGTGAAGCCTCTGGTGGGAAAGGGGGACAACGTGCCGAACCCGCCTAGCTCAGGGGAGGCCTGCATGGCGGCCTTAATAACTCAGACCTAAAGTAACCACACAGGATAGTCTGAACATAAAATTTCCTAACTAAAAGTGAGCCATGGAGAGTAGTCATGTCCTAGGGCCATATTTTTCTCCAACTAAGGTCAATCTTCACCCTAATTGAGACTGTCATCGTTTTGCAAATAAGATAACATACTTTTGGAATATCAGTCATTTCCTTCCCCTGACCCCACCTCCTGAAAGCATAACCACCAGAGACCATAGGTCCCCTCACTGTTATTGTTACTGTGTTCATTGTTGACCGTTAACTGTCCTATACCCACAAATGTATATCTATTGGATTTACTTTTTATCAAATCCCAGAGATTTCCCCCACTTTGCTTTCTCCCACTCCCTAATCTATCACCAATGAATTTCACGTGCCCTATTTTGCCATGTATAATGCACAGTTTTGACCAATTTTTTTAGGGAAATATATGAATGCACATTATACATGGGTAGTACTAATTCCATATCTATATAAATGTTTTTAATTCTTTTATTTATGCTTATACATTAAAAAGTGAAACTCTAAAAAGCAATAACAATATCCGTATGCAAAATAACACCCTGGAATACATAATCGGTTTTGTCTCTAAATATGAAGAAATAAATAATTAAATTTTAAAAAATGATTTCTTTCCTGAAAGTTTGGGCCAAAAACATGGGTGTGTATAACACACAGGAATATATTATACATGGCAAAATACAGGTAACCCTCTTCCGCCTCCTCCTTTGATTGTGATGTATAAAATAAGCTGCATCACCACCATTCTCTGGAGCATTTTCTCAATCCCTTGAGTGGGTAACTTTGTTTTTGAAGGGTAGCAAAGCATGCCACCTCAAAATATGCGTCTTTGGCATAAGGAGTATTTTGAGCGGATTATTTTGAGAAACAGCAGGCACAAGAGAATCTGGGAAAACAGAAGTTACACTTTTGTAAGGGAAAATTTACATTTGTAAAGGCAGTCTCTTTGTCAGGTTTCCCTCAGTGTACCTGGAAGAGAAAGTTGACTAAATCTGAAGGGAATCTTACCCTACTGGAGAAGGCACTGGCAAATCTGCACACCAAACTTGACCCTTTCTTACCTGCTTTTCCCATAATAACCTCCATAACTGGCCTGCCCCCATCCCTGTCCTGGTTTTGTTGTTGTTTTTTGTCTTTAGCCAAAAATGGTACTGTATGTAAGGTGGTGGTTTGGGCCATCTCAGGGAGTCTCTCAGTTTCCTTCCCTGGGTATCTTTCATGTGTACATGTGACATACATGTTAATAAGCTTCTGTTTGTTTTTTCTCCAGCCAAGAACTGAAATGGGAAGGGGTACATTTTTTTTCTCTCCCACATTTTCTGTTGTTAAAATTAAGAATCTAAAGTAAGTTGACTTTTTGATACCCAAATTGTACCAGCATCCCTTTGTAAAAAGTGAAGTTGGAGATAGGGTGGGGAGTGGAGGATGGCTAAAATCAGATTAGGTGGTATCTTTTAAACCATTTCATAGTGCTGTTTTCTGAAAAACAAACTGATGATCTGGCCAAAATATGCAAGCAAAACCGTATGTGCCACTTCGTTCTGTTAGTAAAGAAGCAACAGGCCCAAAATGGAGTCATGCCTGGGTGCAGGTTTGGCCCCTGGTTGGGGCACGGGCGAGAGGCAGCTGATCAATGTTTCTCTCCTCTCTCCCCTCTTCTCCCTCTAAAGCATGTCCTCCGGTGAGGATTTAAAAAAATGTTCAAGGAGACCTCTTTTGGCCAGCCACCATAGAGCTTGTGGAGGCCCGCTGGGAACAGGACTTCAAAATTGACAAATATGTGTGGGAGGCTGTGGTCCAAGGGCCTTTTTTGCTGACTATAAGCAGGGTCTCCAGAACCAGAGGGAGCACACAGCTCTTCTTAAAATGTAAGGTGTTTATGTTCAAGGTGAAACTGAATTCCATCTAAGAAAGAGATGTGTTTATGTGTGCAAAGCAAAGAACCACACAGTGACTCCAGGTGGCAAACCAGACAAAACCAGTTACCTGAGGAGAGGTAACTCGTGCCCATGGAAACAGTGTGGCATGGTTCCTGTCAAATTCCAGAGCAACTTTCCTGCTAATGCTGTATCCGTGTTATAAAGATTTAAACTCACTGAAAAGAAATAAAAGTGGGAGGGAAGCTTATGGAGGAATATGCTGTGTGGAACATGTGCAAGACAAGTTTTTTCATGGCCTCCCAGCTCCATTTTTTTTAAAATATTTTATTTATTTTAGAGGGGAAGGGAAGGAGAGAGGGAGAGAAACATCAATGTATGGTTGCCTTTCATGCTTCCCCTGCTGGGAACTGGCCTGCAGGGAACTGGTCTGCAACCCAGGCATGTGCCCTGACTGGGAATCGAACCGCGATTGTCTGGTTTGCAGGCCTGCGCTCAATCCACTGAGCTACACCAGCCAGGGCTTTCCCAGCTCCATTTATTCCCGCTGACATAAATGACTCCACCTTGGCAATCTCCATTCACACTGGATGACCTGTGGTGCAAGTAGCAGTACTATTATCACAGACTGACAGCATGAGTTTATTAATTTTACGTCAATGTCTTCCTAGTATACAGTTTAAAATGAAAAACAGCTTGGAAAGCCGTAAGTGGACTTTATTGTAAACATTTTATTAATTCCTTTGAATATTTATAATAGTTTTGTTTTTAATTTTCATTTAAAAAACCACCACCACCAGGCATAGTTTTTTCTATTGTTTTACTCCCCACCCCAGGATTTCCCCTTTGGAGGGTTGAGAAAAAGGGGACTAATTTTTTTCCATGGGGACGTAGTTTGTATTAATGTTAGGAGATGCTGGTCATCATTGACCACACAAGTTTGAACTCTGGTTACCTTAACAAAACTGTCAGACGGGAAGGAGTTCTGTGTGGTGGGCCCCACCGCTGCCCCGACAGCTGTGCTTGCACCTGCCACGCAGTGGTGGCCGAGGGGTCCTGTAGAGAAACTGACTCTTCAATTTCTCCTGCTCAGTTTTGATGTTCAGGATAGGTCTTACCTGCTCGTTCTACTTTAACACTAGTCTACAACTGTATTCCACAAGGAAACACTACTGAGAGATATCGAGTGAATATATTTGAAACCCAGCAGAGTGCTTACAGTACTAGTTTAGTGTGTCTCCTACCAGGTGACTTGTACCTCATTTTAAGAGGTTTTTCCCATTAATAGCAGAGGCATTTTCTAAATGCAGTTATGAATAGTTGTTTGCAACAGTATTACAATCATTTTTACTGTGGCTTTCTTAAAAATTATCTTCTCTTGGAGGCTCAACTTGCTACCAAGAATTTTAATTATGTGACATCTCCCCCAGAATTACAGCTCTTGGAATTAGGGGTGAGGAACAAGAAACCTACATTGTATTGTGCTTTTACTTTATTTGTGAGGATTGCATTTCTTTGTGGCTTTTTGTTTTCATGATAAAGGTGTTTTAAAATTAGCAACACAATTTACAATACTCATATTTCTTACTCCTTAGTTCTAATAAACTGATGAGTTTGACAAGAGATATCTCATTTTCTAAATTTAGCCCTAAAGGAAACACCTGTGGCTAAGATGCAACTGGGTTGTTTGTTGGCCCAAGAACAGGCTGTCCGTGATGTGCCCACAGATGGCTCTGGCACAGCTGTACCTTCTGTCTCTGTCCTTCTGCAGCCTCTCTTAATAGTTCTCTGGGCACCGTCCTTCTGCCATTCTGCTCACGCCGTTTCAGTGTTCTCATATGCTGTCATTCTGTCATTCTGTGGACACTTTGTCCACTCGTTGATTGGTGAACTGTGGTCACCTACAAACTAGCCTGAATAGCTTAGGACTGTCCCTTACCTTCAAAGTAGTTTTGTTTTCTATTCACTGAAAAGGAAAATGCAAAATGACAACTATTATGAGTTCAATACTCTGAAACAAATTTGTATTTTATTCACCACTACAGCACCCACAAACTTCCCCCAAAATAATAGTTATAGATATGTGAAATACTCTTCAGTCTACAAAGAATGCTCAGTGCACACATCAGTCACGGAACCTCTTAGAGTA